GGTGACTGATGGGGATTCTGCAGGTATGAAAATACAGATATTATCTCCTTTTTTTCCTTACAATCAGGATATCTCATGCCTCAGCAGTTCTGAGTGATCTCAGTTTGCCTAATTTGGATCTGAGAAGCTCTAATTAAAATCCAGGGACTCGTTTGTCCCTGCTCCAGAGCTCTGTTGTGAAGCTGCCTGTGGGTTTGGGGGGTTTAAAGCTGTGAGAGACCATGGGCTCATCCCATGGGAGCCCTTGTGTAACCTTGGGCAAACCTCCCCATTCCCATGGGCTGGGCTGTGAGGTTGTTTTTCCTAAAGCAATCCAGGCTTTAGGAGATTAAAGCATTGAGCCCAGGATCTGATCCAGCCCCGGACGGGCAGTGAGACAGGATTAGCCCAAAGATGAGGAGGGAATGGCTGCAACCCCTCCCTGCTCCCAGATCTGGGAATCAGCTTCATTTGGGCTCTTGGGTCAGCACAGGCTCTGCAAAACCTCTGATTTTTATTTATACATAAAAGTAAAAAGTTTTAAAATAGAAAAATTTAAGCCTATCCAGTCCTCCCTCCTTCTTCTTCCTTACCTCCATATTCTTAGTAATGTTAGCACTCACAAATTAGTTTAGAATAAAAAACCACCATTTAATATAAGTAACAAGCATTAAAGAAAAACTATAAACATTTAGCACACAACCATATAAAAAATAACACCAACCCTGGGGAGAGACAAGAAGAAAACGAGTCAAAAAAGGTATCAAAGTACATGTACCTTTACCTAAGCTACTGCAGCAGCTCAAGAAAACAATCTTTTAAATAACTTACAATAAACTACCTTAAAACCAAACAACAAAAGACGACTAAGCCTTTCTTTAAAAACACAAGTTAAAAGAAAAATTTTTCCACCACACAAAGCCACCCCCAACCTAAGGTGAGCTCCAAGAGGAATGAGTGTAAAATCCAATGGTTCCGGCATCCAGATTAGAAAGGACACGTCCCCCCTCCTGCAGAGGCAGAGGATGTCATTGCTGGGATGATTTAATGCTCATTTTTGAGATAACCCGGTTTAAAAATGTTGAGTGCATTGATTGTGTGAGGTCAGCCTGGAGCAGTGAGTGCACAAGGTGCTGAAGTCACAAACCCACAGAATTCCAGGGAGTTTGGGGCTGGAAAGGACCTTAAAGATCCCCTCATTCCCTGGGCAGGGATGATCCACCTGCAGCCCCTCAGAGCTGGACTCTGCTGTCTAAGGGTGGCTGTTAATGAAAGCATTTCCAGCTGCATAATCCCATCAAATCAGAGTTACTGACATCCCAAATGCTCAGCACTCACTGGGAACTTCTGGAATTGATCTGAATGGCAGCAACCACCATCCAAGAGTGGGATTTTTTTTTTTTTTTTTTTGTAACAGTGACTAAATGTCTGTATTTCCCAGTGTTGAACCATGAATTACTATTTTTTTTTTTTTTTGAAGCAGAAGAAGTAGCCTGACATCTAAATCTTAATTACGCCTTTCTCAGTTTGTCAGACACAAATTCCTGGGAAGTTACCAGAATGTTTTTACTCCACACATAAAAAAGACTTTGTTTCTCTGAAGAATTAATTCCTTGGGTAGTTCCTTGTTGTTTTTAAATAAAGCCACTGTGTTTTTGGCTGGATCTTGGCACGGGGACCATCCCAGGCTGCTCCAGGCAGGGCTGTCCTGGGGAAAGGCCATTCCTGGGTGCTGCAGCAGGGATCAGTCGCTCTGGTTCTGTCACTGGGCTTTGGCTGTGGGGCTGAGGGATGGAATGAGCTGGGGCTGGGTCCCTGCAGGGCCCTGAATGGGCTCCTTTGTTCTGGGGGGCAGAACTGCTCAGATGGGAGGGCAGGGGGAGCAGGACGTGGCATTTGGATGGGGTTTTTGTGGGGGGGGGGTTCAGAGCCAGCTCTGAGATAATGGATCTTGCAGGGACTCTGTTTTCCAGGCCAATAATCCACATTTCAAGTGCCCTCATGGAGGGAAAGATTCCATTTCCTTCCGATTTGAGTGACGCAGGAATTGCGTGTGGCAGCTGCTGCTTCGTTCTCTTTGCATCTTGAGGCGTTTTAGCCCAGCTTGGCCTTTAGGGCAGTCTTGAAAAAGGAATTAATCTGCTCCCTGTGCCACCCTTCTCAGCCCTGGGGAGCCCAGGCTGTGCCAGCTTCCCTTTGCCACTCGTGCAGTCACTGTTTTGGGGTGACTTTGGAGCAGAGCATCAGCCAGAGCTCACCTCAGGTCAAGGATGGCTCCGTGTGGTGGAAAACTCCCTCCTCCAACCTGTGCTTCCAAAGAAAGGCTCAGCAGTCTCTGTTGTTCGGTCTCAAGGCAGTTTATTGCAAGTTATCTAAAAGATTTTCTCCTTGGGCTGCTGTGGTTTGCTCACAGCTCAGGCAGAGGCACACACACACCCTGACATCCTCTCTGTCCCCTAATTTCTTCTTCTCTCCCCGCCCAGGGCTGCTACTATCTTTTATATGGTACATTATGTGATAAATGTTTACAGTTTCCCCCCAATACTTATATTAAATGGTGCTTTTCTATCTTTTATATGGTACATTACGTGTTACATGGGTACAGTTTTTCCCCAATGCCCATTACCTATATTAAATGGTGCTTTTCTACTCTAAACCAATCTGTGAGTGCCAACATCACCAAGAACATGGAGGTGAGGAAGGAGAAAGAGGGAGGACAGGACAGGCCCAAATCCCTCCATCTTAAACCTCTGACCCCCATGTACAAAACCAAACCCCCTGTACAGCACTCAAAAATTCTTCCCTCTACTTCGTAACTACTTCTACTCTAATATCTAAACTTTTGTGACTTCTTGTTCTTCCTGCAAGGTTGGTAAATCAAATCCAAAATCACAGCTGTTTCCAGCTGCCTGCCAGGGTCTCAAATGCTTCTGACGTGGGCCTGGAACCTCCAAAAATGTCTGAGGGACGTTTTGAGTTCTGACAAGCATCCCCCAAGGTTGTGCAATGCCCTCAGGGTTCCTCCTCCAGCCCTTCTAGGGAATCACCCTCTGCCCTGAAGCAAGAAAATTGCTGCTTATCTTCACCTTCTGGCCCTGGCTGTGCCATAAAATCAACTGCTCCTGGAATTATCTGCTGCCCCTTCCAATCCTGATGGATTCCATAGGCTGGGTGCACTTGGAAAACACATTCTTCACCTTTTAACCAAACTGAAGCACTAAACCAAACACAGCGAGACATTGCCTCCAGTTGCAATCATTCAAGAAACCCAGGCTCGTGTTTTCCACCTCCACCTCTTTATTTGGATTAATTTCCTCAATTTCAGTGCTGCTTTTCATCTGGGATGATAAAAGGAGCAGGATCAACACTCTGAAGTGAATTTCAAAGGACAGAATCACAGCTGTAGTTTAGCTCGGAGCAAAAAGACTTAACTTCAGACATTGCTGCAAATTTGAATGCAAAAGTCTCTGTAGTATTTTTCCTTCTTCCTTTCTTTCTGCTCTGTCAGGATTTAAGTGAAGGGGTTTTATTTTTCCACACCATGCCCATGTTTGTGGAGTGAAGCTTCCTTTTCCTTTCAAGTCAGGGAGAGGTCAGGGAGGGGGCTCAGCAGCACAAATCCCTGCAGATGGGATGGCTGGGGACAGCTCTGACTTCCAGCAGCAGGAAACATCACTTGCAAGCAGCAAAGTTCCCAGGGAAAATATGCCAGCAATTTGTCTTTTATAATCTTGTACATAAGCATGAGGGAGGAGGTTTCAGACAGTGACCCTCTGTTCTGCCTTAGTTCAGTCTGGCATGGCAAGGAAAGATAAAATTGACTTTTTTTTGGGTTTTTTTTTTTTTATTTTGATGTGGGAGTTCCTCCAGGTTGTAAATGCTGCGTGTTGGGATGTGAAACCTGCCTGGTGGAGCAGGCAAGGGGAAGGGAAGGGGAGTGCAGGGGTTGGTTCTGTCTTGTGGCTGCTGTGATCTGCAGCAAGGGGAAGGGACCGGCTGGGTCCTCCCTGGTGCTCTTTGGGCTGAATTAACTCTGTGTTCCCAGCAGAAAGGCTGAGCCTGTGGCCACCCACCTTTCCCTGGGCAGCAGCTGGATGGGAAAAATGCAGCCTGGAGTTGGTATAATGGGTGATTGTCCCAGAAAAAGCCACGGCGTGTGGGAACTGTGTGTGGGAATCCCTGGGTGGGGCAGCCCTGCAGCTCCACAGGGACCCCAGAGAGAGCTGGGGGTGCTCCGGGGCTGGAACCCTCTGGAGCTGGGATGGGAGAGCTGGGAATGTTCACCTGGAGAAGGGAAATTCCAGGGAGAGCTGGGAATGTTCATCTGGAGAGGGGAAATTCCAGGGGGAGCTGGGAATGCTCACCTGGAGAAGAAAAGGAGCTGGGAATGTTCACCTGGAGAAGGGAACAGGAGTGTGGGTTCCTGCACTTAATCCTATTCCCCCTGGAAATCCCATAAGCATCCAGCTTAACTTTGTCTTTGGGAGGGATTAAATTTGCACAGAATCCCAAGTTTTGGTGCTAAAGTTGTTTCTTGGCTGGGCAGAGCCTTTAGCAGCAAACAAGTGTGATTTGGTTTGGAAATGAGTGTTTAGTCTGGAACAGGGGTGGTTTTTATTACAACATCTGATGTTTTCTGATGCTGGAGTTGCTCCTGAGAAAGACTGAAAAATGAGAATTATGGCACTGATGTACCTGAGCAGGTTTTTGGCAAAGTGAGAACGTGCAGCTCCTCCAGAAGGTGTCCCAGGCCTGTCTGGAAGGTCAAATAATATAAAATATATATCATAAAACAATATATATTTTATCTATATTTTAATAGATAAAATATATTTTATCTATTTCTGCATAATAAAATCTGGAAATAGACAGAGGATGTCCTTTCCCAGTATATTCCATACCCAGGGGGATTTAATCCCGTTATTCCTTTTCCCAAATTCCTCCCCTGCCTTTGGAGAGCCCATTCCCAAAGCTGATTGCCTCATGGTTCTGTTTTTGCTCCTTTTCTCCCCATTTTTCAGCCATCTACAACTACGAGGCCGTGCAGGACGTGGAGCTGTCCCTGCAGGTGGGGGACACAGTTCACATCCTGGAGATGTACGAAGGTAGGTGCAGCTCACAGGGGGTTGGAAAGGAAAACAGGGACAAATCAAGATTGTTTTTCAAATTGTTGCTTTGTACCTAAATTTTTTGGGTTTTTTGTACCAAACTTTTAGGTTTCTCTTATGCCTCAAAGCACAAATTTGGTGTGTAGTAGCTGCTGTAGCCTCTTAATTTTTAAAAATATTGTTAAAAATGCAGAAATGCAGAGAGTTTCTCATATCTGTGCTGTTACAGGCGGAGTTTATCAAGGTAAGGTTTCACCAGTATCTCATTAAAAGAGAAAGAAACTTTTAATTCTGGCTGTTCACTGCTGTTTTCACCCCACATTTCTTTGCTTTGGCTCTTCTTTGGGCCAGGCCGGGCACCTGTGCTCGTGGGATGAACTGATCCTGCTGGAAAATAAGAATAATAATTTTTAAAAAACCCTAGCTTTTAACCTGAGTTAGTTCTTGATCTGAGTGGATGGCAGAAAAGGAGGGGGAAGGGCTGATTATTTCATAATTCATGTTGCTTTGAGTTGTAATATCACAAACTGGCACTAAATGTTTTTAAAATGCTCCAGTTGTGGAGCTTCCATGCCTTTTTTAGGCTGTTTTTCCTAATCCTTCACTGGGACATTTTTCCTAATGCCTTAATGTAAACCACAGGGTAAACAAAATTCTTATTCTGAAAATTAAAATGACACTGCAGTGTTTCAAATCCCCCTATCAAATTTGACTCTTTGACAAAGATTTCAATATTAAGACTGGAACAGAGCCATTCAATCACTTTAAGGAACGCTCTGGTCACCGCTTCCCTCTCCAAAACTCCAAGGTAAAATAGAAATCCAATTATTTTCACAAGCAACATGGATTTGAAGGAAGATTCCATGCCCAGGATCAGCACTGGAAATAAGGAGCTGCTCCTTTAGCAATTTGTTCTTGGCCCATTGTTCCTTTTCCATCCTCAGGATCTGGGAGCAGCTCCCAGTCCCAGCAGATTCTGTCGTGGTTTTACCCCACTGTGAGTGATCGTGGTGGGGGAAAGGGAAAAAAGGGAAATACCCTGTGGAAATCACTGATTTATTACATGGTTCTGCGAAAAGACACAGGGAAGAGGGAGGAAAACTCCCTCAGAAGGAGGAGGCATCTTTTACTCCCCAAAATTTGGGGGAATATACTTCTTTCTCCCTATTTTAAATTTTTTTAATCATTGTTTAGCCCCTGTTTCTTATAATCAGTTCAACAGAGACAGGAATAGGGAATGAGTACATAAATGGCACCTTTTTTTTTTTTTTTTTTTGGCCCGAAGTCTCCCAGTTTGGAGCTTTGTCAGGAGAAAATTGCCTGTGAATAGTTTGGGAAAGACGTGGATGTTTTCATGTGTGAAGGGGAAAGTGATTGTTCCCATATGCTGAGCCATCAGTGGGGAGCAGAAATCTGTGCCCGAGGCACCTCAGAATTCCTGCAGGGCTACAAAAATCCCTTTTCCCAGAAAAATCCAGTTGTGAGTGTACAGGAGAAGATGCAGAGATGGTGACTGCTGTGGGTCTGCTCTAATTTCCCATAAATTCACCTCAAACCCTCCCCATTCCCATATTCTGCCTGCCTGGGAGGAGCTTCTTGTGTCTTCCCATGTGGGAGTCCAGAGCATCCCTCTGGGTGCCCTGGGACCCTGGCAGGGGTCAGGAACCCCCCTGGACAGAGCCCCCAGAGACACTGGCTGTGATCTCTGTCCATGGAAAAGAGTTTTCAATCTTACAGGATCAATTACCAGCTCTGAGTGTTTGATATCAGTAATAATTAAGTGCAGCACGGGTGCAAAAGTAAAATTTTAGGATTCTAGATGAGGGGTCCAAAGGGGACAAGATGGAGGAAATTGGGTGTGTCTTGTCCTTTTTCTCCTTCTTCATGCCCTCCATGTTTCACTGTGGTGTTGGCATTTTTCTGTTGGTTCAGGCTGGGGACACACTGTCCAACGTAGGTGACAGATATTGGCACGTTATTGTAAATCCAGCACAGGTAGTTTGTGGTATTTAATGTTTGTACCATCCCACTGAGGGCAGAGCCCCACACGCTGCCCTGCAGGACAGAGCTGCGGCAGGGCAGCAGAACATGGTAGAGATAAACAGAATAAACACCCTTGAAACCAGCACAGACCAATTATGGCTTCTGCTTTGGCAGTGGGGCTGAAAAACAGAGACTTTCTACAATCTCAGAATCATCAATACCTCAGATTCCAACATTCCCAAATGTATTTTTTGGGGTATCAGCTCTGAGCTGTGCTCCCAGCTCTCTGTGGCTCTGTTTTTGAGGGTAGATGTTCTCACAAGAGGCTTTTTCTGCTCCTTCTCATGCTAATGCTGCCTGCTCACCACTAGAGCTGATAAAAACTGGTTTTGTTCCTCTAATCACTGCTCTTATCTGGACACACAAGCCTCGACTTAGGAAAAGTTTCCATGGAACCAGGGCGGGGGCTCTGTGGGAGGAAAGGCTGGAGATGCCCTGTGGAGTCATTTTTTGAGGCTGGGAGATTCCCCATGAAGTTATTTTTTTGGGGGGGTGGGGACGTGCCCTGTGGTGTAATTTTTTGGGGCTGGAAATGCCCTGTGGAGTAATTTTTTGGGGTCTGGGAGATGCCCTGTGAAAGTATGAAGTAGGTGACTATGTGAAATATGTGAAATAGTGAAATAATTTTTAGGGGTTGGGACAAGCCTTGTGAAATCATGTCTTGGAGGTTGGGAGATGCCCTATAAAATAATTCTTTGGGGCTGGGAGGCGGAAGCCCTGTGAAAGCATTTTTGGGGACTGATAGATATTTTTGGGGGTTAGAAGTTGCCCTGTGGAGTCACTTTTTGGGTCACTTTACCTTGCCCATAGCTGAGGGCATTCCTTAGGCTGTCAGTGACATTCCTCAGGGAGTTCAGGGGAGTTTTGGGGCTGTCCAAAACTTTTGTGACTCCTTGTTCTTCCTGTAAGGTTGGTAAATCATTCCATGGTTCAAACCCAAAATCACAGCTGTTTCCAGCTGCCTGCCAGGGTCTCAAATGCTTCTGACCTGGGCCTGGAACCTCCAAAAATGTCTGAGGGATGTTTAGAGATCTGACAGCAGGATCCAGGAGAAGGAGGGAAACCTGCTGCCTCCAGGACTTTGGAGACTGCTGCAGTGCAGGGAGTGTGGCCTTGAGCAGGGAGCTGGGAGGACACTTTGCTGTCGAGGGGAATTCCTCCCAGTCTGCAGGATTTATCATTATTTTTGTGAACTGTAGGATTTCAGGGGCACTGCAGGAAAAGCCACGCTGTGGGTGGAAGGAATGTGTTCTCACATACCGTGACCCCTGGCAGGTGCTGTTCCTGCTGAAAAGGAGTTTACCTTGAATTTGTTCCTGGTTTCAGTCACCCTGGGGAGGGTGAAGCAATGCCCTGAGTGCTGTGGGACAGGACAGACCCCGCAGGAGGAGGAACAGGGACCTTGTGGTCCCACATGTGACCTGGCCTTGCATCACTGCAGAAAACTCGATCATCGCTGGAGTGTTGTCCTTAGATTTGTCTTTTCCATACTGCATAAAACCCACTGAGTAAAGGGTAAAGTTGAGGACTTGATCAATTAAAAAAAACCCAACAAAACAACAACCCCAAACTTTCAGTGATTTCATTGCAAGTCTGCTTAATTTTTGGTTTTTTTTAGATTTCAGTCTGAGTTTGTCTTTTCCATACTGCATAAAATCCACTGAGTGAAGGGTAAAATTGAGGACTTGATCAATTTAAAAAACCCCAACAAAACAACAACCCCAAACTTTCAGTCATTTCTTTGCAAGTCTGCTTATTTTTTTTTTTTTTTTGTTTTCACTCAGATTTCAGTCTTGAGTGTTGGAGCAGCTGAAATTTTCCATGTCATCATCAACTGCAAAACCTTTCTCAGTTTTTAGCCCATCTCTGCTTGGGGAAAATACTCAAAACACTTGAACAGTCTCATTCCTCTGAAGATTTAAGCAGATTTTGGGGGTTTCTTTAAGAAGAAATCATGTAGTTAATTGACCACTGCCCAAAGATTGATTTCATGTTGAAGGGATGGATAAAGTTATTGAAGGTGGGAGCAGAATTCTGACAGAAGTTGCAGGAGGTGCTTGCAGAAACAGCTTTGCACAATCAGACCCCACATGCTTTTATGCAATGATTGCAAAATATTTTACAGGAATGGGGGGAAGGCCAAGGGGCCCTTTGAAACAGGGGGAAGTTGTTCTGTCAAAGGGCTGAACGTGTTAAATGGGATCAAAATCCCTCCTGGTAAATTCCAATGAGCTCTGTCTCCCACCCTGAGTAATTTGTGCTTTCCTCTTCAATTAATGACAACTTAGATAAAAATAGAACCTAAATCTTCTCATCCCTAATCCAGGACCTCATCCATGGCTCCATGAGCAATGGATAATCTTGTTTTCCTCCTGTGGAAAGAAATGGAATTTCTGCTTTCCTCTGAACTCATTACTGGAGTATTGCAGTTTTTGAGGTGGAGGTACCTCCCCATTGCTGGAGAAAAGGCACAAAAACTGCACTTCAGAAAATAAATAAATAGCAATTCAACCACATGCACATAAAAATACTCAATAAAATACAAATTAAACCATTCTAAGCTCTAATGTATGGTTGAGGAGTGTCAGATCCATGGTTATTTATGGAACCTTCTTCGATAAATTTAGGAATTTGGGGGGGACCAACAATAAAAACACCAAAAAAAATTTAAAAACAAACCCAGAGGAAGCAGCCTCCTCTCTTCTTTTCCTGATTATTCCCTTAAACCCCTTTGCCTTCTTGATGCTGCCACTCAGCTGGATGTAATCTCCTTGGAGGGGCTTTAATGAATTCAGCCGTTAAATGGATTCAGCCTCCCAACCCAACCCATTCCATGGAAACCCTGGTGCCAAAGGAAGGAGAAATGTTTTCTCAGAGACATTTACTCCTGAGGCCTGGGCAGCACAATTATTGCTTCTTACAGTGTTTAGATCTTCCCAAAGGTAGGATTGATAAGCAGGATTTGTGCCAGGGCAGGGAGCTCAGCTCCTACAAACAGAGGTGCCTTCCCAGGAGTGGATCCCAAATGAGAAGATCAATAAATTGATGTTGTAGAAAGGTGGTGAGAATCACAATTTGTATTTAATTGCTGTCAACAGGAAATAATTAAGTTCAAACATCTGTGTTTGCTTTGCCAGGCTGGTACCGAGGATACACACTCCGGAATAAATCCAAGAAGGTACGACCTCACTTTTGGGCCACTCCCATTTTAATTTCACACCTTGCCAGACCCCATCTGGTGCTGAAAACTCCTGGATTTCTTGTCTTAAGCTCAGGCAGGACTTCTTGCCGTGGTGTCCTGTCCTCAGTGACAGAAATTAATGACCTTGAGGAGCCACGTGTTGGAATTCCTCCACTGGAAGCATGAGGAATGCAGTTGGAACTTCCACAATTACCTGTTCCCGTCTCTATACAGGAGTTTGTTGCTTTATAATGATGCTCTGGGACCTGTGCACACCCAGCATTAGTTCTATTTAATGGGAATATCAGAGTTTTGACTGGAAGATATTCCAGAAATTAAACATCCCTGGCTCTCAGCCAGGCTGGAGCTTGGGCTGGAAGCTGCTTGGAAATCCAGGTTCCCCCAGGAATGTTGCGCCTCTCCTGTGGTAACATCCTGAGACAGAGTAAAAATTTAACAAGGTAAAAATCCATTTAGATTTAGATAAAATGTGCCACTTTAAGCTTGCTAAATATGCTGTTTAGTCTAGTGGCTGCAGGCCTAGCAAAACTACCCCAACTAAAGAAAAAGAATGCAAATTTCCACACTAAAAAATAAGAAATAAAAAAGACTCCTCAAACCTTAAAACAGGGCAGAGTGACCCAAGAGTTCTTTCTGTACTTTCTGACAAAAACTAAGTCCAGTTGTAACTAACTATAAGTATAATGTAAAATCAGCAAAATAAATATGCATTAACCTATTATAAAATCCTATGCATATAAAAATTAATAAGAATAATAAAAAAAATCAAAAGTTCTCAAAAGTACCCACGTCCATCAAAAAGCAGCAAATCCCAACATGCATCCACAGCACTATAAATAAAAACACCCATTCCCTACAAATCTTTATTAAAATTATAAAATTTAATTTTTCATCCGCATTTCAATCCCCCACAGCCTCTGGCTTTAGGGGTGAAGAGGAGAGAAAAGGGAGCAGAAAAGGATTCCAGCATTTCCAGAAGGTTTCTCTGTAGCGACAAGAATTTGGGAAATTCTGCAGGTGTTGGTGATGGGAGCTTTTCTAGGGAGTACAGGGTAGCATGACAGAGGACTGCAGGAATATTTCATAACAATTACTGATAATTTTCAGGAATTTCCTGCAGGGAGATGAGGTTCATTAGAGTAAAACAAGGAATCAGATTCTCTGAGTTGCCAATATGGAACCTGTTGCTCCTCCCTGTCCTTTTTTCCTGGCATACTGGGACATTTCTTACTCCTTTCCCCTGTTTTTTGTTAAGTATCTTCTTGTCACATCCTATCCCACGGTAGGATTGATTTATTTCATTTCTCTCTTTATTTTTAGGGCATTTTCCCAGAAACTTACATCCATTTAAAAGAGGCCATCGTGAAGGACCGGGGGTAGGTTGGCACTTCTTTGGCAGCAAAACCCAGGGACTTTCATTCCGTTTAAACCCAAAAAGAAGCAATTTAAATGGCTGTGGTTGCCACAAAGCCAGGGCGTACCTCCTGTGCTGGGCTTGCACTGCATAATTCCATTTTTCAGAGCAGTGGGGAGCAGGGGCAGCAGGAGATGATTTGAAGAATGAAGGAGGCTCTGCTGGACAAGTCAGTAGTGGGGAGGGTCAGTCCAGCTCCATCCAGCCCCTCTGGGGACTCCTGGAAGTCAAAACAGATTCCTGCAGGCAGCCAAGGGCCCAGCAGGAGCGTGGATTCCTTCCTGTCTTGGAAAACACTGGAGGAAATGACTCCTCCTTGGATTCCTTGGGTCTGTGCTCCTTAACAGCGGCTGCAAAGGAAGCAGCTTTATAAAACACTTCTTTTTAAATTCTTATTTTATTACCATCCCAAGTGGGGATTCGTCCAAACTTCATTTCTGTCTCTTTATCCCGGGTTTGGAACGGATCCACTGGGAATAAGAGGAGTGAAAGGAGCTTGAAGCATTTTTGTTGTAGTTTAATATAAGAACAAAACATGTATTAAGTTATAAGGTAAATTAAAGTAGAGGTTTCGTGTAAATTATTGTTTTATGTAAAAGTGTGTTAAATATAATTTTAATGATGATTTTTGCAATCTGTGTTCTCAGAAGCAGAGAGTAGAGTGTGGTACATAAAAAGGAAAGTGTTGCACTAGCAGATTTTCTCCGAGCAGTGCCATGTGTGACACAGAAACACAGGATGTGGCAGCTCTGTTCCTTGGGGGGGTTTGTGGCACAAGAAAGACTCCTCTCTCCCTCCATAAACTGAGTATTAATTATCTAGAAGGTGAGAACCTGATTGGGGTCCAGGTTGCGTCTCACTGTACTTTATTAGAGTTAGGTAGTGAGAAGAAGAATGTTTTAAATTTTGTATGTGTTTTTTTTCCTTTCTTTTTCCTTTTATAATGGTATAGTAGTAGTAGCTTAATAAAGTTTTCCCTTGTTATTAAGCTTAAGCCTGCTCTGCTCTGTTTCCTGATCGCATTTCACAGCGTTCAATTGAGAGGTTGCATTTTCATAAGGGCATTGTGCCAGTGTCAAACCATGACATTTTTGCATTAAAAATGGATGATGGATGTGTGTGTTGAGAGCAGCTTGATGGTTTGACATCACGTGTGAGTGAATTGTGTGAAAATCAGCTCCTCTGGAGTTCCATATTTGGTATTTATCAACAAAGAGTGTTTTCCATGAAGTTTTAGCCCTGAGTGTGACACGTTTCTGTGTTGTCTCCCTGCTCTCTGCAGGCAGCACGAGACGGTGATTCCCAGCGAGCTGCCCCTGGGCCAGGAGCTGACGGCCACGCTGAGGGAGTGGGCAGTGATCTGGCACAAGCTCTACGTGGTGAGTCCTCAGGGGCTGCTCTGTGCCCAGCTGAGCTGAGCTTAGGGCAAATTTGGGAGAAAAACCTCTGGAAGGATTCCCCAGCAAACAAACACCCACGTCCCTTTCCCACCCACCTGCTTTGGGAAGAATTTTCTCGGAGAGAAGTGGAAAAGAACCTGTTTATTTAACAAACAAAACACTTCCCAGCACCAAGAAAAATGAACAACACTGATGACAGCAAAACTCTTTCACCACTCTGAGGAGATGACAAATCCAGAAAGTCTCTCCTGGGAGTGGTCACCCGGTCTGGGCACTGGGGGGTTGCTCTGGACACTGGGGATTATTGTAAATGCAGGAGAACCCAATGGGAAGAAATGACAATGTCTGACTCAATTCAGAAGGCTGAATTATTCCTTTATTATAACTATGCTAAAATACATTAATATACTATAGAAAAGGAGGATACTAAAACTACACACTACTTTCTCTGACTCTAACACAACTGGTGGCCCTCTCTGAGAGTCCAACCACAGGTGGGTTGGGTTGGGTTGGATTGGATTGGATTGGATTGGGTTGGATTGGATTGGATTGGATTGGATTGGATTGGATTGGATTGGATTGGATTGGATTGGATTGGATTGGATTGGGTTGGATTGGGTTGGGTTGGATTGGGTTGGGTTGGGTTGGATTGGATTGGGTTGGATTGGCCACCAGGCTCAAACAATCCTCACCAGAATCCAACCCAGCAATCATCCCAGGTAAACAATTCTCCAAACACATTCTGCATGGGAAAAACAAGGAGCAGAAATAGAAATTATTTTCTCTTTCATTTCTCTCTTTGCACCTCTATGAAAAATCCTGAGAGGGAGAGAAATGTGGATGGCTGCTGCACATCACAGAGTGCAGCTCTCGATGTTCCTCCCTCTGTGTTTCCCAGGTCCCATTCTGGAGCAGTTGGAGTGATATGCAGGAAAGGGAAAGGAAAAAAAAAAAAACCAGTCCAGGGAAAGAATTGGGCTGCTTATAAAGTAAAAAGGCAAAAGCAGAAGCAAGCAAAGCAAAGCAAAAGCCAGCCAGCACTGGCCTCTTCTAGACAACAGACCATGGGCAAGACAAAACCAACCTTCACTTTCAGAGTCAGTTCTGAAAGCACAGAACAGAATATCAAACATAGACAGAACACACACTGGGGATACAATCACCATAATGTCACCCCAGGACAGCTCTGTGCCTCTGCTGGGGCAGGGCTGGTGATGAAATGGGGGCTCAAAGGGCTCTGCTGTCAGATTTGGGGGCTGGCACAGGGCGGGTGGCACCGTGTGTGACACTGCCTGGCACAGGTCAGAGCTGGCTGGGAGGCACAGCTCACCTGGGAAATCCAGGCTCCGCATGAGGGCAGGAAAACCCAGCTGGGCTCACATCTGGAATTTGGACGCAGCTCTGCAGGGCTGGGAGTGTTGTGGGGATTCCATGGAGTGGCTGATCCCAGCCAGGGCACCCCTGGGAAGCAGGGACCAGTCAGGGATGTGTTGTGGGGGGAGATGTGGCTTGTCAAAAACATCATGGAATGTCCTTAACTGGGAGGGATCACTGATCCAGACTCCCCAAAATCCCACCCTGGGCATCCCTGGAGGGTTGTCCAACCCTCCTGGAGCTCTGGCAGCCTCGGGGCCGTGCCCATTCCCTTTCCCAAAATCCAGCCTGAGCTGCCCGGTCTGTTCCCTGGGTCCTGTCCCTGTCCCAGCAGGAGCTGCCCCACAGGAGGAATTCCTTAAGGCCTCCCGTGTCTGGGGTTCTCAGTAGGGTGGGGAAGGAGCTCTCCTGTCCTAAATAAATCCCTGAGAACAGAGTCCCCTCAGCAGTGTCACAAACCTGCCACTGCAGGGATTTCAGGACTGTCCTGCAGCTTCTTGCTCAAGGAAATGAGCCCACAGTGAGTTCCTTTATTTTAAAGGCACATTAAAGAGTCAAACTTGATTTTTCTCTGAGTTCAGCCTGCACAAGATGTGCTCCAATACTTTAATTAAGAAAAGGGAGTGAGTTTAAATGAGCTCTAATCACCCAGTGCACCCAGAGCAAGTTTTCCTATTGGAAATTTCACCAGGCCACAAATAAGTTGTGTTTGTGTGCCACGAAACCACAAGAATTTGTTCCACCCTCTCAATTTAATGAGAAGCTCTACGTGATGGTATTACTGTGTGAAAAGAGAGTTTTGTTCCTGGCATATTTATTTCTGAATAACTTTCAGATCCCAGCCTCACAATCTGTTATTTTAACAAGCAGAAATCTTTCATGTTCCCGTGCTTAACCACTATAAGGCTTAAAATAGGTTTGGAAAATGTTGTGGTTTAAAATGGATTTGAGTTTATTTTATTTTCCCTGCAGTATGTAGTGAAAGAATTTTTTAAAAACTAAAGGAGGAAGGAGGCATTTGAGGAGAAAAAGGAAACATGAGGGGATTTTTTTATTTTGGCAGCATTTAATTTCACTTCTTTAATTTCTGTGGGTTTCATTGCAGCAGTGGTTTTATCTCCACTTCAAAATAAATACAAAAATGGGGAGAGTTTTTAATTGGTTTAGTTCATAGGAATTAGCTGTGAAGATAACTCAGGTCGAATTGAGTCGAATATGAATTCATCCAAATTGCCTTTTCTCAGCCAGATTTTTTACACAAGAACATGAGGTTGTTTGGTTTTTTTTTTTTTTGTTGTTGTTGTTGTTGTTTATGAAATATATCTCAAATATCTTTTCCATAGAGCTCAAAACTCAAGCAGCCCTCGTCAGCACCTTGGTGTTCACCCAAATCAAAGGGAGGATTGTTTTCATACCTTTAAATTTGAGGGAAATACGAGTAGCTGATACCATTCCTGTTCATTGCAGAGAAGAGAATGGGGAGATAATTGCATTTAGGGTTTTTTGTGCTGGGTGGGAGCAGGGGGGTTTGTAGCTCACCATTAACAGCTCCAGCCCCCAGTGAACACCAGAAGGTGACACTGGCTGAGGGGGAGATGTGACCCAAACCAAACCCCTGGGCTTTGGGATCCTAATGCAAAACCAGGCCCTGATTTGTGATTTGCACTTAAATTTCTCCTTTGGAGCTGAATCACCTCATCACTGTGCCAGTAACTCAAATCTGTGGCACTTCCCTGTGAAAAGAGTCAGAATCCTCCCAGGAACTGCCCCACTGAGGGAGCAGACAGAGAGTGAAGCCTTTTTTTGGGCTCCCTTTTTAATGGGTTAAAGGGTTTTTAACCCTTTTTAATGGGTTAAATGTCTTCCCTGACACTTCTAAAAGCTTATTTACTTATCTGAGCACATACTGCCACAAACAGGGTGGGTTACCACATATCCATGTTTAATTTAATTACAGCCTTGGAGCTTGGAGGTGCAGGAACAAAGTGTGGGTATGGGACTGGTTTTATGAGGGTGCAACAGTAAAGGGCAGGGAAAAAAAAAAAAAAGTACTTTCATTAATTGGAGATGATAACTGAAGGAATGGCAAGGTTTTTTCAGTGTCCTTATTCAGTTGTGGTCCTTTTAACATCATTTCTCTGTCCCTTTTATAAAAAACCTCCATCAGAGCAGTCTGGAAGTGCTGGAAATCACCAGAGGTCTATTTTTAGTGGGTGAGGTTTTTCTGAAATAATGTCCTAGGGAAAGGTGAAGCCCTTAAAGAACTTTAAGGCACTTAAACCTTGGCAGTGCCAAGTGCTGCAGAATTTACTGCATGGCTCTGATCTTACATGTCACAAAGTGCCAGGTATTTTTGGTTAAATAAAACTTGTGTGGTTCTGCAGCTGCACACGTTTCAGAAGGGTTGCTGAGCTAAGGTTTCCAGGTTTTCCTTGATTAAAATTGCCTATTTTTTTTTGCCTCAGAACAACAAAACCACGCAGTTCAGGCACGTCCAGCAGCTCACCTACAGCCTGATAGAGTGGAGATCCCAAATCCTCTCCGGGACCCTGCCCAAGGATGAACTGGCTGAGCTCAAGAAAAAAGTCACTGCCAAGATTGATTATGGCAACAGGTGAGCTCCAAACTCCACTTGGAGGGCAGAGGGGGCTCCCAAACCCCAGGGAAGGCTCTTAATGCAAAACCAGGCAGTGAATTTGGCTGATTTTGGGTGAAATGGCAGCTTTGAGTCCCTCTGACAGCGTGGCCACCTGGCAGGTGGATGTGGAGCAGTTGGTTCTGGATGTGCCACAGATCTCTGTGCCTTGGCAGGAATTCTCCTCTCTTAATTCTGCACAAATGCTGGCAGGGGGTGGCCTTTCCCTCGGAGCACAGTGTGTGCCTGGTGGGGAAACGCTCTGCTTTCTCAGCAGCTGAGGGGCAGGGTTCCACAGCCAGCCCAGCCCTCGGTGGTTTGCAGTCCCCAGCACTCCTTTGTCTGCCTGCCAGCTGTGAGTCAGGCCCAGTAAGTGAATTAAGGAGCTTATGGCAAAGAATAACAATCAGCTGCAATCTGTGAGCTTGGTATGTGTTCATCCACCTTTGAAACAAAGCCATTTGAGCAGGAATAAGGGAGATGTCGTTTTAGGATTGAGTTACCTGACTAATTCTTTCTGCCTCTAATGGGAAGATGGGAGGGAGGAGGTTGTTAAGGCAGGGAAGCCAGCAGTGAGTGAGGCTGTTCCAAGGAGTGGGATGTTGGGCACTGGCAGCTTGGACAGTGATTTGATGGTTTTTTTTGTCTCCTGGGGCTGTCCAGGATCCTGGGTCTGGACCTGGTTGTCCGAGATGACAATGGGAACATCCTGGACCCCGATGAGACCAGCACCATCTCCCTCTTCAAGGCCCATGAAACTGCATCCAAGAGGATTGACGAGAGGATCCAGGAGGAGAAGGTACCTCTGGTGTTCCTGCTTTGCCCTCTTCAGTCACTGTGCCCACTGTGTTTTTATATTCCTCTTAACGTTGTGCTTCTTTGGCAGCAGAACTAAATTCTCCTGTGTCTGTTTGTAGCGGAAATGTAAAATTTAATGGAAATACGGAATTCTTTGCAGTCCCTGCAGCAGAGTTTGGACCTCAGGGGACAGCCAATATTCAACTCCACACACACTTACAGCCTCTATGTGAACTTCAAGAACTTTGTCTGCAACATTGGGGAAGATGCAGAGCTGCTGATGAGCCTCTATGACCCTGACCTCTCCAAATTCATCAGGTTGGGGCTTTTTTTGGAAATTCTTAAGCAATGCAGTCATCAGGGTGATCATTTGTGGAAGTCAGCAGGTTGGGAAGGGAGATCCAGCAGATGTTTTCCAGTTCTGTTGGTTGCTGCCCCAGTGGGGGAAAATTAATTCCGATTACTTTGGAATGAATTTCAGAGAGATAGGAAGTCCAGGCACTGTCCCTCCTAGAGCTGGGTATTTCTTTGATCCCACATTGTCTTTTTATATTGTTAATTTTCCCTGCTGTGGCTGCAAGCCTTGGTTAAGCATTTCATTAATTATTTCCCAGTAAATCATGGATTTAATTTTGTTTGCTGTCCAGTCAGTGCCAGTTCACATCTGAAGAGTTGGGGAGGATATGAGGAACTTTATCAGGGAGGCAGTTCCGTGTCAGGAACACTCTGTGTCCATCACTGCACTTATCAGGTGTGGCCACGCAGTGGAAATTGTCCAGGGAAGCAGCTGCCAGGCTCACCCCATCTGCCTCCATAAGTTAGTCACTTCAGAGGCATTTTGGGATAAAAGACTGGTCAAATATTCCTAAAAGGTCAAAATGCTGTTGGGCTTTTGCCAGGGAATGAAGATGTCAGGCGTTGATTTGTTAAAATTTGCTTTTTCTCCCTTTCTTTGCAGTGAAAATTACCTGGTTCGCTGGGGCAGCAATGGGATGCCTAAAGAAATTGAGAAACTGAACAACCTCCAAGCTGTGTTTACTGTAAGTTTAGAGAATCCCAGAAGAGGTTGGGTTGGGAGGGACCTGAATCCCACCCAGTGCCATGGCAGGGACGCCTCCCACTGTCCCAGGCTGCTCCAGCCTGGCCTTGGGCACTGCAGGGATCCAGGGGCAGCCGCAGCTGCTCTGGGAATTCCATCCCAGCGCCCCCAACCCTGCCAGGGAAGTATTTCTCCCCAGTATCCCATCTCTCCCTGCCCTCTGCCAGTGGGAAGCCATTCCCTGTGTCCTGGCACTACAAATGTCTCCATCCCCCTCGTGGTCTTCCTCCAGATCCAGAGGGCCACAATTTTTACCTGTGTAGAACCCAGCAAAACCCCTCCCTCCCACTCTCCTTCTGTCTCCTTTACCACCCAGAAAGGACATGGAGGGAACTTTGTGGCAAGCATATTTCTCTCCCTCTCAGGATTTTTCACAGAGGTGCACAGAGAGAAATGAAAGAGAAAACAATTTCTATTTCTGCTCCTTGTTTTTCCCATGTGGAATGTGTTTGGAGAATTGTTTACCTGGGGTGATTGTTGGGTTGGGTTCTGGTGAGGATTGTTTGAGCCTGAATGTCAACCCAACCCAACCCAACCCAACCCAACCCAACCCAACCCAGCCCAACCCAACCCAACCCAACCCAATCCAATCCAATCCAATCCAATCCAGTCCAGTCCAGTCCAACCCAACCCACCTGGGGCTGGACTCTCAGAGAGGGTCACCAGTTGTGTTAGAGTTAGAGAATGTAGTATGTAGTTTTAGTATCCTCCTTTTATATAGGATATTAAGGTATTTTAGCATAGTTATAATAAATAAATAATTCAGCCTTCTGAATTGAGTCAGACATCGCCATTTCTTCCCTTTGGGTTCCCCTGCATTTACAATAGAACTTGATGTGAACTCTGTTTGGTTTTTTCTAGGACTTGAGCAGCTCTGACCTGATCAGGCCCAGGATCAGCCTGGTGTGCCAGATCGTGCGGGTGGGGCACATGGAGCTGAAGGATGGCAAGAAGCACACCTGGGGGCTCCGCAGGCCCTTCGGCGTGGCAGGTGGGCACTGCCACCCTGGTGCCGGAGCAATCCCTGGTTCAGGGCTCCATGTGGTGGAAAACTCCCTCCTCCAAGCCGTGCTTCCAGAGAAAGGCTCAGCAGTCTCTGTTGTCTGGTCTCAAGGCAGTTTATTGCAAGTTATCTAAAAGATTTTCTCCTGGAGCTGCTGTGGTTTGCTCACAGCTCAGGCAGAGGCACACACACACCCTGACATCCTCTCTGACTCCCGACTGCTTCTTCTCTCCCTGCCCAGGGCTGCTGCTGTCTTTTATATGGTACATTACGTGTTACATGGGTACAGTTTTTCCCCAATGCCTATTACCTATATTAAATGGTGCTTTTCTATCTTTTATATGGTACATTACGTGTTACATGGGTACAGTTTTTCCCCAATGCCCATTACCTATATTAAATGGTGCTTTTCTACTCTAAACCAATCTGTGAGTGCCAACATCACCAAGAACATGGAGGGAAGGAAGGAGAAAGAGGGAGGACAGGGCAGGCCCAAATCCCTCCATCTTAAACCCTCTGACCCCCATGTACAAACCCAAAACCCCCCTGTACAGCACTCAAAAATTCTTCCCTCTACTTTGTGACTACTTCTACTCTAATATCTAAACTTTTGTGACTTCTTGTTCTTCCTGCAAGGTTGGTAAATCGTTCCATGGCTCAAACCCAAAATCACAGCTGTTTCCAGCTGCCTGCCAGGGTCTCAAATGCTTCTGACCTGGGCCTGGAACATCCAAAAATGTCTGAGGGACATTTTGAGTTCTGACACCCTGGGGACACCAGCACGGCCACTGAACCCCTGCCTGGGTGCCTGGGGGGACTGGGACACGGGGCTGGGAGCTGGGAATTGTGTGCTGGAAGGGTCAGGACCAGCATCTCTGCCCCAGTGCAGACAAATTGTCCCCATGAGAACCTTTCCTGAGACGGGAGCTGGAGATCAAACACTGTCACTGCTCTCTTTTGTCACCTCCCACAAAGATAACAGGCTGCCAGGCTGCAGCAGACTTAGAGGGCCTTATCAGAGTGGGATTTGCTCCTCAGGACTTGTGGGATAAAGCTGGAGGTTTTAAAGAAGCCTTGGTGAGCCAGACTGCCAATTCTTATTTTGCTCCTGGGATTTCTTGTGAAGGGGCTTACTTGAAATCCTCGGTGGAAATCAATTTCCAAAGAGGCAGCATTTGAATATAAGTGGAGATTCTTTGCCTTGAAATGCCCCAGTCCCAGCTGGTTTTTCTCAGAGTATTTTATCAGAGTGTATTCAGTATATTCACACTCACTGCTATGGGCTGACCTGCACATCAATGTAAATGTGCTTTTTTAAAAGTTAAAATGAGAGTGATGCCCTCCATTGCTGTCACAGAATCCCAGATTTTTGGGGTTGGAAATAGCCTTAAGTCCCATCCACTTCCACCCCTGCCATGGCCAGGACTCCTTCCACTATCCCAGGTCACTCGGAGCTATTGTTGTGAGTGACACTGGCCCAAAATAACCCTTTGTTGTTTCCATTTTGAGAGGGAAAAGCTGTCTCTGGGTTCTTGGCAGCTCTGAGGGATGCTCTGGTGTCGTTGCAGTGATGGACATCACGGACATCATCCATGGCAAGGTGGACGACGAGGAGAAGCAGCATTTTATCCCCTTCCAGCAGTGAGTACTGAGCTCCAGAGCTCAGCCCACCTCTGGCCAAAGCTATGGGGCAGGACAGATCTGTCTGGGAGCCTGGCAGAGCCCCAGGCACAAACAACCAGCTGATACAGCAGTCAGCTCTTCGCAGGGAGAGGTTTCTGAAACCCTCAGGAGCCTTTATTCCCCTTGGTTTTCGTGGCTCTGGAATTTCTGCGGGGTGAGGAAAAGCAGCACAGAGCAAAATAATGTTGTGGGGCTGAGGGGATGTGACTTAGAAAATTTTTGAGGGGTTGAAAGGCAGGACTTTGCCAGAGGCTGAGCAGAGACACAGATTTTTGTGTGGGGCTCTCTGTGCCCGTCCCTGCCCACGTTTCCTGGTCAGGGTCAGCCACAGGGAAGGGGTTTCTCCTCTTCCTGGGGAAGAAATTCCAGCCCCAATGAGTTCTGCATTTCTCACTGAGAGTTAGACTTCTGTGTGTGTTCTGCCTGCTCTGGTTGCTCACTTTTTTTGGCACATTAGAGTAACGAAAACGGAGCTTGTTTGGGTAGACCCAGCCTTGTTGTTACAGCCCTAAATAGAGCAAAGCATTGGCTGCAGCCATTTGTTATTACAGGCTATTTTCAGGGGAGATTTGGGGTTGTTCCCCTGCCCTCTCAGTGCCTGGAAGAATGGCTTTCCCTTTGCAAAATAACGTTAGTCTGCTACTTTTTTTAAATTTTTTTTGTAAGTTTGATTGGTTATTTTATTTTTTTGTTTGGTTTGTTTTTTTTACTTTGTTTGTTTATTTTTTAATTATTTGGTTTGGGGCTTGTTTGGGGTTGTTTTGTTGGGGTTTTTTTACTTGTTTGTTTGATTCGTTTTTTGTTTTGTTGGTTTGGGTTTTTTTCCCATCTTTCTTCTGCTCCAGTGAGGCTGAATTTAGAGCCTCAGCTGGACACCAGGATGGGCAGCCTGTGGAGACCTCGTTTCTCCCTCTTTATTGGTGGTGTGGGTACAGGAGTGAAGTCAGGGTCAAGATCCAAACCTCACTAGTCCTGTTTGTGACTAGGGATGGGTTCATCACTTAGGTGTTGTCACAGCAATCATTAATTTATATTAATTTATATTAGTTTACCAATCTGGCTCTGAGGCAAACCTGAAGTCAGGGCTTCAATCCTGAGGTCAGTGTTACTTAGTTTGAGGGATAGACTGTGATGCATTTCCTAGCATGAAGGTTTAAATGGACTTTGTGCAGGTGAAAGAATGAAAATCCCCATGGAATCCTTAAAAAAAATCCCACATTTATTTGGAAAACAGCCGGCTCTTGGCCAGGCCTCTCCTTGTAGGTGGTTGGTGTCAGTCTGTCCCAGTTCCTGATCCTGATTTTTGTGGTCCTCCTGCCCAGGATTGCCATGGAAACCTACATCAGGCAGCGGCAGCTGATCATGTCCCCCCTGATCGCCTCGCACGTCATCGGCGAGAACGAGCCCCTCACCTCCGTCTTCAACAAAGTCATCGCTGCCAAGGAGGTCAACCACAAGGGCCAAGGTGCAGCCTGGGGAGGCTCCGGGGAATAAATGGCTGCTGAAAGTCTGAGGATCAAGGTTTCATGGAGTTTCATCCCTTCCCCAAGCCCAATCCGTGCTCTTTGCCATGGTTCTCACTTTGTCCCTTTGTCACCCCATCACACACGGGGTTGAAATCCACATAAAACCAGACAAAACTTGCACGGGAGCAGCTCTGCCAGCTCCTCACTTGCTCGCTGGTCGTATGTTTAAGGTCAATATTTTTTTAACACCTTTAAAACAAAAGTGTTTTTTGGGCTGTGAAATATTTGTAAGTAGACTTGGCTGCGTGTCCCAAATGCTTTGGGGTTAAATCACATTATTCCTTGGCTCAAAGGCAATCAAGATTCATCTCTGAAGGTTTGGGGTTTGCTTAGGAGAATCTTCTTGCCCAGAAAAATCTTACTTAGATTCAGGGACAGAGAGGACTGGGCAAGAGAGAACAAGATGGGAACATGGAATTGTCATGGAAACGTTGATTTTTTGGAAGCACAGACTTAAATTTCACAGGTTTGTACCTTTTTATTTTCAGTAAACAAGGTTCATCTCCCTTTTCTTAGGTCTCTGGGTGTCCCTGAAGCTGCTCCCTGGGGATCTGGCTCAGGTTCAGAAGGATTTTTCTCACCTTGTAGACAGATCCACTGCAGTGGCTCGGAAAATGGGTTTCCCTGAGATCATCCTTCCCGGTAGGTTCCATGTGCTTTTGCATTCCATGGAGTGAAAGAGCCACCTGAAATTCTAGAATTTCTATCAGAAAAAGATTTTTTTTAAAAAAAGATTTATTTTTATCTGAAAACTTGTTATTTCTCTTGAAAGGTCCAGGTTATTTTCTTCTTTTTTTTTTTTTTTTTTGTCACAAGAAGTTGAAAACATGAGTTTCCTTTCTGACCCTTCTTACAGCAAAATGATGGTTTGTGGAGCTTTTGGAGGAAAATCTCTTTAGTCAAAGGAGTTTTTATTGTATATGGCTTTGACCCACCCATTCAGAGTGGGTTTAACCCTAGAGAGCTCATTAAATTAAAAAAAAAAAAAAAACAAAAAAACAAAACATCAGGACAGAGGTTTGTAGAAAGGAAAAAATGATTCATTTTAGAAGATTTTGTGTAATTTGAGACAGAGATGAAAACATGGTGGTGGGTGTTGTTAATTAAAGCCTAAGAGGAAATTAGGATAAGGTGGTACCTAAGGGTGTTTGATTTTAACCTGTCACACTGGGAGTGAGAAACCAGCTGATTAAACTCTGGGAATTGCAGGTGACGTCCGCAATGACATCTACGTCACCCTGATCCAGGGGGAATTTGACAAAGGCAAGAAGAAAACCCCCAAGAACGTCGAGGTCACCATGTCTGTGCACGACGAGGACGGGAACCTGCAGGAGGTAGGATGGCCTCTGACACCCTCTGAAGATTCGCCACCCAAAATATTCTGTATTTACCTTTTTCCGCCATCCTTGTGTTTTGTCCAAAGAAAGCCATCCACCCCGGGGCTGGCTACGAGGGAGTCTCGGAGTACAAGTCTGTGGTTTATTACCAGGTCAAGCAGCCCTGCTGGTACGAGACGGTCAAGGTAAGGCTCTGTCAGGCAGTGCTGATCAGGAGCTCAGGCTCTGGGTCTCTGCAGAAGGCTGCTTGAGTTTATTAGAAACCCATTCTGTACACACTGCTCTGATATGACAGAATCTGAGGTGTTGATGATCCCGAGATTGTAAAAGTCTCTGTCTTTCAGCCCCGCTGCCAAAGCAGAAGCCATAATTGGTCTGTGCTGTTTCAAGGTTGTTTATTCTGTTTATCTCTAACATGTTCTGCTGCCCTGCCGCAGCTCTGTCCTGCAGGGCAGCGTGTGGGGCTCTGCCCTCAGTGGGATGGTACAAACATTAAATACCACAAACTACCTGTGCTGGATTTACAATAACGTGCCAATATCTGTCACCTACGTTGGACAGTGTGTCCCCAGCCTGAACCAACAGAAAAATGCCAACACCACAGTGAAACATGGAGGGCATGAAGAAGGAGAAAAAGGACAAGGCACACCCAATTTCCTCCATCTTGTCCCCTTTGGACCCCTAATCTAGAATCCTAAAATTTTACTTTTGCACCTGTGCCACACTTAATTATTACTCATATCAAACACTCAGAGCTGGTAATTGATCCTGTAAGATTGAAAACTCTTTTCCATGGACAGAGATCACAGCCAGTGTCTCTGGGGGCTCTGTCCAGGGGGTTCCTGACCCCTGCCAGGGTCCCAGGGCAGCCAGAGAGAAGCTCTGGATTCCCACACTGATACAAGTGCACCTGATTGGTCATTTAATGCACACCCCTCACCCCTAATTTGTCTAATTAAGAAAACACCCTTTGGTGAACATCTTATGAGAAAACAACTGTTCAAAGCAACAGTTGCAAGATTGTTTTAATTCTTTCTCCGAGCTTCTCACAGCTTTTCCCAGAACAATGCCTGGCAAAGTGATCTGTTTCTCTCTCTGACTAAACTGTCATTTCCACAGGTCCCCCTTTTTGTTTAAAGGAGGAGGCAGCATCTGTAATGCCCTGTGGGGCTCCTTGCAGGAAAAACAAGCACAGCTCAAGAGGTCGTGCTGGCTGTTAATCAGAACCTCAATCAGACCCTCATTTAGAATGATCAGAGAGATTTCCAGCATATACCATTGAATTCTTTACAATCAAGCCTTGTTGTTCCTTCTTTTAAAAACCCTTATTAATTCCAAGGCAGTAACAGACATTTTTAGTCTGCTCAACCTGTCTGACTTGTCAGCAACACTTTTCCAGAACGGTCAGCAGCTGCGTGATTCTCTGTGTGCAGACCTGAACTGATGTGCAGCCAGCAGCTGCACCAGCACCAGAATGTGCTGGAGAGTGGCTGGGGGCAGGAAAAATGTGTTTCCATCCTGTTCTCCCTGCAGGTGGCCATTGCCATAGAAGAAGTCAGTCGCTGCCACCTGAGGTTCACGTTCCGCCACCGCTCCTCCCAGGAATGTGAGTACAGGAGGGGACACCTGCAGGACCGCTGTGAACTTGAATTTCTGTATATCCACAGTGTTTCTTCTTGCCCAGTTTACTTATTCACAGTTTTGTGGCAAGCAAAAAAAACCCAAAGCTCGTTCAATTTTTTTGCACCCAAAGTTAGGTGCTGTTTTTTGTCCTGAAACTGAAATTTGATAAGGAGCAGCAGTTTATCCCCTTGAAAGATAATTATCAATGTTTGTTATTGATTTGGCTTCTCAGTGTAGGGTGTTGCTTTTAATTTATTCCCCAAAATTCACTGCAAGCCTGGTGGGCTTCTAGTGATCTTCCTATAGGAAGATTGCCAATTAGGCTAATGAAAGGCTAATGAGGGAGTGAGAGCCAGAAGTTCCATCAGATCACTTCAGAGCCCTGAAAAGAGATCAATAATGTGAGGCTCAGCCATTGAAAGGAAGGCAGTGGCCTCCTTCCATATCCACAGCTCACAAACCAAAATCCCAACCAAAAGTATCTATAAATATCTGTATCAGAGGATCATTGAATTGTTAAGGTTAGAAAAAAAATGGAAGATCAAGGAGTCCAGCCATTAATCTGTCCATCTATCAGCACAAAACCCACTGAAATTGTGTGTGGGAGATGCTTCAGGAGGATGTGTTTGTGTAGCTGCAGTTGCCTATGAAATACTGCTGCTGCTGAGGTTAGAGGGCTGCATTTTGGGTTGTGTGGGCACGAATAAGACAATTCCTAATGAAGATTTCTCCATTTTGCAGCCAGGGATAGATCTGAGAGAGCTTTTGGCATGGGCTTTGTGAAGCTGATGAATGCAGATGGAACGACGCTGCAGGATGGCAAACACAATTTGATTATTTACAAGGTAACCTGGGCATTTCCAGCCTTGTCTGTGTTAAATTCATCAAAATGCTCTCCTGGCTAATTTTCCAAGTGGTAGAAAGTTACACAGTGTGTGTGTGGGGTGGGAAATCCTCCTAAACTCTGTGGCTTTGGAAATAACTCAGTTAATTTGCAGTATGAGCAACTTATCCCTGAAATTCAGAACTCAAACAATGATAGAGGTGAAAAAGTGTTTCAAACCCATTCTGGCTGTCACTGTGGGACATGACCCTTCTCCCTGCTGTGTCCCACCAACAGGGTGACAACAAGAAGATGGAAGATGCCAAGAGTTATTTGACTCTTCCTTGCACCAAAACGGAGATGGAGGAGAAGGAGGCTCCCTCAGGGAAAAACCTGCACGCTCTGGCCAGCTTCACCCCCACCAAGGACAGCACAAAGGACAGCTTCCAGATCGCCACTGTCATCTGCTCCACCAAACTCACCCAGAATGGTAGGGGCTCTGCAGTACACAGGGCATTTTTTCCTTCAGGCAGGCTTCTGTGTGTGGCCAGACAGCTTTTCAGCTTTCGTTTTTCTTCTCATGTGTCAGTGGCAGCCCTGTCCCATCAAGCTGCCAGAACAAGCTCCCAGAATGTTTGTGCAGCCCCTAGAAACACCTTTCACACAAATATTCCCTCCAGACTGCTGGTGTTAAACCCAACAAGTTTGTTGGCACGTGGAAATGTCACCTGTCAGTGACAGTGTCTGTGTTTTATCAGAATGTTAAATATTTAAGGTTAATTGCCTTCTTTCCTCTGGCTGTTAAGAGAGCAGCAGTTAGGACTGAGCTCTCCAGGGTGATGGTGTGCATTAACTCTGCTGTGCTGCCAGAGGGGTCAGAATGAAGAGCAGGATGTGACTGAGTCCAGCCTGTGCTGGTAAATGATGGGAGACTTCCAGCAGCAGCACTGAGTTGTGCACTTCAATGAAATTCCTGGCTTGAGATCCCTGCTCTTAAAAAAACCTGCAGAATGGTCTCAAATGTGTTATCGGATGTCAGCCAGGTTTCCATTTATAGCAGAGCTTTGCTGTTTTGCCAAGACAAAAGAAGCACCTCAAGGTAACGTTCTGTACCTCAGGGTGACTGTTCTTTGTGCACTGACTAAAAATATCCCCCAGCCTTGCTGTGGGCTGCTCTGCAGCTGGAATTGCTGATGGCTGCTTTGTGTCCTTGCAGTTGACCTGCTGGGTTTGCTGAACTGGCGCTCCAACGCCCACAACATCGCCCACAACCTCAGGAAGCTCATGGAGGTGGAAGGAGGAGAAATCGTGAAGGTATTCCCAGGGATCTGAGCCTCCTTGGGGCACACACCCTTGTGTGTCAGCCTGGTATTGGACCCAAAAGGTGTCTAGGGAGGCTGGGAGGGCAGGTCTGAGTGCTGAGGAATGGGAGAATCATCAAATCATGGGATGGTTTGGCTTGGAAGGGACCTGAAAATCAGATTTTTCCATCCCCTGCCATGGGCAGGGTCACCTTCCACTGTCCCAGCTCGCTCCAGCCTGGCCTTGGACACTTGGGCACCAGGGATGTGGTAGCCACAGCTTCTCTGGGAGCCTGTGCTCCACCTCTCATTAGGGGAATTTACCAGAATTACAGAAGTTGAATATTACAGGGATCAGGGAGAGAGTGTTGACTTTACTTTCCCCTTTATCCTTATGAAATAAGAGACACATCCAAAGCCTAACATTTCATTTTCAACTCCTCTGTGAATGAGGAAGGGCTTGCTGTGAATCTGGGAGCAGAGACAGCCCAGAGATCTCACGGAACAGGAGATGGGGAGTGGATGTGATATGGGGGGAATTCCCACAGCAAATGGTGTGCTGAAGGATTCAGGAGGAAGGATCTTACCTGTGCTGGGATTTTGCGAGGTGATGGTTTTGTGGAGCAGCTGAACACGGGGTTGATGTGTCACTGTGTCGCTGCAGACAGGCTGAGTGCCGTGCCCTGCCTCGAGCTGCTCTGGAGAGGTCAGGATTTTTATCCTGTGGGATAAAAAGGCAATAGAACAGCAAAGTGGAGCCTTTTAGAGCTGAGAAGAAAAGATCTTCCTTACTATAGAGATGATCATGACAATCACGTGCATGAACACAAGGCTGAGATCCCTTTTTAGATGTTTTTTCATGGACAGGTTTTACAGTTCAGCCAGGCTGGAAGGGCAGGAATAATCCAGCTCATGCTCCTGTGCAGGATGCCAGAAGCAGTTGCCTTTCCCCACCTTTTTACTGTTCCTTTTCCCCTCTAGTTTTTGCCAGACACCCTCGATGCACTTTTCAACATCATGATGGAAATGTCAGAAAATGAAACCTATGATTTCCTGGTGTTTGATGCGCTGGTGAGTGACCCTTCTGTGGCTGCAGAGTTTGTTTTCAGCCACGTTTCCAGTCTGTTCCTGGTGATTCCAATGAGCAGTTGGTATTTTACTCTAGAAATAAATGATATTTAAACACTTCTTGAGGCTTTTTCAGGAGCCAGGACTGAAATGTACATCAGGTTTTAGTACCCACAGTTAAAAGAGTAATAAATTGCACACACACAGTATTTGGTGACTGTTACAACATGAATAACACTCTCTTGTAGCATTGATGCTGTTGATAAAACAAAAATTATAACCCAGCAAAATAAATGGAATTAAGGACTGTTCTATTCAAGTTAGTGTGCAGCTCTGTGGATCTGTTTCCTTCTGGATATTTTGGCAGGTATTTATTATTTCTTTGATTGGAGACATCAAGTTCCAGCATTTCAACACTGTGCTTGAGACTTATATTTACAAACACTTCAGTGCAACCCTGGCCTACGTGTGAGTATTGGTCCCAAAGCTCGGGTGCCACCCAGCAGTGTCACTGAGGGCTTTGGGGATGAGATCAGCTCCTGGTGATGTATTTGATGAGGTCATTTTTGATGATGTTAATGTAATAAAGGCAGCAGAGAGCAGAGTTCCATCCCTTCTCTGCATTCAGGAGAAAAAGAATCCTTCTTAGTGCTCTTTTTACCCTCTAAAAAATTCTGTTGTGAGGGTTTTTTTCTGTCAAAGCAGACAGGAAAGACATTTCTATCATGGATCTTGGCTTTTCAGCCCCTTGATCAAGCACCCCGTAGCCAAAAGTCATCACCCTTGTGGTGACAGAAATGAGAAGTTCAAACTGAGGGCAAAACCAGAAACCCAACTGCTTTTCCTCTCTAAAAATCTCCTGTTAATTTTTATTGATCTGCAAGAATTGGCTGCCACTCTAAAGGAGGAAACACAGTTTGAAATCCTCTTCTCCTGCCCATCCACACAGTCACTGCTTCCACGTGGGAAGTGGTGGAAGTGGCTTTTCTCCTCCTGCTCCACACGTGGGAATTCTGACACAGGGAGAAAGCCTCGGTCCCTTCCCCTGGGAGTGGGGTTTGCATCTTCCTGGACAGGTCCTTTCAGGGCAAAAGAAAAGCAGAGTAAGAGGGTGGAATCTGTGACCTTTTAGCTTGAGTTTGGGAAGGAAATGGGCAGTGAGGAGGAGCCCTGTGGTGTTTTTGTGCCTGCAGTTCTTCTCTGGGGCACAGCAGCTGAACCGTGCCTGTATCGCTTCCCCTTTTTGCTTTTTATTTCCAAAGGAAACTCACCAAAGTCCTGAACTGCTACGTGGGGAATGCTGAGGACTCCAGCAAGACAGAGCTGCTCTTTGCAGCCCTGAAGGCCCTGAAATACCTGTTCAGGTTCATCGTGCAGTCACGGGTCTTGTACCTGAGGTGGGTCCAGCCCTTCCTCCCTGCACCTCCTCTGGGAACCCACTGGGGCTCCTTCCAGTAAATACCACTAAAGCAGATATTCCTCACCAAATCCTCCACCACTGACTGATTAAGAGGATCTTTCTGCCCTTTGTTTGTGGCTGGAACAGATGAGTTGAGCAAAAATTCAACTACTAGATTAGAAGGGAGAAAAACCTTTTAGTCCCCCCTCACATGCAATAAGCAGCACATGGTAGACTGAAAAGGAACCCAGTATTTATTTTATAAAGTAAAACATGGAATTTCCTCCTCATTTTCAGAAACTTTAAGAAACTCATAGATACTTCAATCATTAGGTGAGGTGGGAGATGACGCATTTCTCCAATCAAAGTAGTTTAATTGCAGCTTCAAAAACATCCTTCCAGAGATTCACAGTGAGGGTTTGAAACCCTTTATTCATCTCCATTCTGGATTTTTTTCCTGTTTAATACTTGGAACCCAAGCAGAATTTGCTGCAGTGGCAGCCTGAAAAGTGCAGTTTTCCCTGCAAAATGTCCAGTTCCAGTTTTACCCCTATGTCTTTGTGGAAGGAGATGGCATTAAGATGTTGTTCCACGGGGTGAAATCCTGTTTCAGCTGCTGGATTTCCATGTGTAACTGGCCCTGCTCTTTGCAGTGTTTATGGGAAGAGTGAGGATGGGAATGAATTCAATGATGCAATTCGCCAACTGTTCCTCTCCTTCAATGTCCTCATGGACCGGCCCCTGGAGGAGGCTGTCAAGATCAAGGTGAGCATCATTTCCAGGGAAAAGTAAAAATCTTTAATTAGATCAACTGGTGCAGCTGGGAAGGGGCTGGGCCAGAAAAAGGAAGGAGAGAATTATCCATGAATCACTTCTCCTGCACTTTTCCCACTCTGCACTGCAGATCTGGAGTGGCTGGAGGCTCTTTGGATGCATAAATTTGATTTTAAACCAGTTCTCTGCAGTTGTCCTTATATTTGCTTTTGACAGAAACTGGATTTCCCACGTGTTTCATGTCCTTGGTTTCTTTCTTCTTTCAGGGGGCAGCTTTAAAATATTTGCCCAGCATCATAAATGATGTCAAGCTGGTATTTGACCCCGTTGAGCTCAGGTAACTATATTAAGTTTGTTTGTCCTCTAAACCCATCTGATCTGGTGGGAAGAGTTTCGGAAACTTGGCTAAAAACAGCCACTCTGGTTACGATCTGATGGTGCAGATCCTGTGCATGGACTCAAGGAAGGGCTTTAAAGGATGTCAGTGGAGTTCAAATGATTCTCTCCATCCCAGTTTTTCATTCTGGGAGTGCCCAAGCCCAGGCTGGATGGGCTTGGAGCCACCTGGGGCAGTGAGAGGTGTCCCTGCCCATGGCAGGGTGGAGCTGGGTGATTTTAGTGTCTCTTGCTACCCAAATCATTCCAGGATTCTGGGATCCTAACAGGCACCTTGAGATTTTACTGAAAAGCAAAATCTGAGGGCGGTGAAGTGTTGAAACCTCATGCAAGTTTCCACCAGTTCTTGGTGAATGCTCTTGAAAAGCGTGGCAAAGGCCAAGCCTTGGCTGGGAACCCAAAAGTTGTTTTTATCCAGGAAATTCTCAGCCCTGTGGATTCCTGGTGCTCAGAGCTTTGCCCAGCCCTGCCTCCTTGTCCTGACACAAGTGATTTGCTGGGCAGCAGCAGACAGGCAGCAAATGTCCCTGGAATTGAATTAAGGGAATCTGGGGTTGGAGATGAAAGGGGCATCTGGAAGGAGGCTGAGCCTTTGCTGCTGTGGGTGTTCCAAATTTCACCATCAGGCTGCTGAGCTGGTTCAAATGAATCTTTCCAAACTCTTGCTTTGCCTGGCTGTGACAGCCAGTGGGATTTACCTGTGTGGCACTGGAGGGTGTTGCAGCATTTCTGAGAGAGAGAGGGTTTGATTTATGTCTGGAATGAGATTTGAGCTACTCCAGTCCAGGCCTCAGATCTGGGCCTTGTGAGGCCTTCAAGCCTGTGACACAGTTAGAAATTAAGAGTTTGTGGCACAGTTAGAAATTAAGAGTTTGTGGCACAGTTAGAAATTAAGAGTTCCTGTGCCACAGACCCCCAAGACCACTTCTGGTGTGGCCGGGTGCAGGGCAGTGTGTGTGTGGGATGGTGGGCTGGGAATGGTGACCCTCTGCTCCCTCTGTGCTGCACACAGTGTCCTCTTCAGCAAGTTCATCCAGAGCATCCCTGACAACCAGCTGGTCCGGCAGAAGCTGAACTGCCTGACCAAGATCGTGGAGAGTGACCTGTTCAAGCAGGCTGGTGAGTGGCACTTGGAAGGCTCTGGGTTCTGTCAGGGTCCACCCACCCTTCAAAACCCTTCCCCTGCCAGTCATCAGGGGCAATCCACCGTTAAATCCAACTCTGGAAGCATTCCTTGCCATGGAAGAACTGAGTTTTTTTGCTGTTCAGTCTTTATACAATGCCCAGTGTGTGGGATCCTGATCCAGGGAGGTGATGTAGAAGGAGGGAGAAGCTGAGTGTGCTGTTTGGTGGAATATACAGAATTAGTGAATGAAAGGGCAGGGTTAGATAGGATATTGGGATGAAATTCCTCCCTGTGAGGGTGCTGAGGGGCTGGGATGGAATTCCCAGTGAGCTGTGGCTGCCCCTGGATCCCTGGCAGTGCCCAAGCCCAGGCTGGAGCAGCCTGGGGCAGTGGGAGGTGTCCCTGCCATGGCAGGGGTGGGATGAGATGATCTTTTTGGTCCCTTCAACCCAACCCATTCTGGGATTCCATCATTCAAATTACAGATCATTTATGACTCTCTCCAGTCCGTTTGTTGTAACTCCAGTGGCTTTAAGGAAGTTGTGGTGTCCCAGGTGGAATCGGGAGCAGGACACTGCTGGGAGGTGCCCACAGCCAGGGCATGCTGAGGCTCTGCTCTGTCCCTGTGTCACTTTGCAGAGTGCAGAGATGCCCTCCTGCCCCTGCTCATCGATCAGCTGAGTGGGCAGCTGGATGACAACTCCAGCAAGCCCGACCACGAGGCCAGCTCCCAGCTCCTGAGCAGTGTCCTGGAGGTCCTGGACCGCAAAGATGTGGTGAGCACGAGCTCTCAGGGCTGCCAGTTCAGCTCAGTTCTTTTGAGAAGTTACAGGAAAGAAACATCCTCAACTTATGCTTTAATGAGCCAGAATTGTGATATTTATAGAAATTATGATGCCTTGCTGTGCAGGTCTTTGTAGGAGCTCTGTCAGAAAAGGAGTCAGGAGAGGTTGAATTAGTTGTTATCACTACTAGAAGCAGTTACTTCCCTTTCCAGGGACCAAAATGTCATCTCAGCTGCTTTGGTGGCTTGTTCAGTAATTTGGAGCAAGTCAAAGAAGTATTATATGGTATAAAAATGAGGGGGTTGCTCGTTCTTTCTATTATGGAATAGGGACAACAATCACTGTTCAGGCAGAAAAATGCACTTCCCACTCTGGCCGTGGGAATTGTTCTGAGTGGCTGTGAACAGAGTGGTTTGAACTGCTCAGAGAAAAGATGTGGAAGCCTCAGGATGAGCTGATGAAGCTGGGACAGATCCATTGAGGGAATTCTCCACCAAGTGAATCCCAGAGCGTTTGAATCGATCGCTCGTGCGCTTAAATCTCCTTCTTCTTCTTCCCCTAATGGCAATTGAACACGGCCAGGGCAGTCCTCCCACACAGGGAGCTGTGCAGGAAGGCTGTGCCTGAGGAATGGTCTCCAATGTCCCTTGCTCCTGTCCCCAGGGTGCCACTGCTCTGCACATCCAGCTGATGATGGAGCGGCTGCTGCGCCGGGTCAACCGCACCGTGATCGGGATGAGCCGCCAGTCCCCGCACATCGTGAGAGCCCTGCCCCCCCACAGCTCTGACAGAGGGGTTCATACCCTGGGAGCCCTTCCCTGCCTCCCCAGCAGCCCTGACAGAGGGGTTCATTCCCTGGGAACCCTTCCCTGCCTCCCCAGCAACTGTGACAGAGGGGTTCATACCCTGGGAGCCCTTCCCTGCCTCCCCACAGCTCTGACAGAGGGGTTCATTCCCCTAGGAACCCTTCCCTGCCTCCCCACAGCTGTGACAGAGGGGTTCATACCCTGGGAACCCTTCCCTGCCTCCCCAGCACCTTTAACAGTGGGGTTCATACCCTGGGAGCCCTTCCCTGCCTCCCCAGCAGCTCTGACAGAGGGGTTCATACCCTGGGATCCCTTCCCTGCCTCCCCAGCAGCTGTGACAGTGGGGTTCATACCCTGGGAGCCCTTCCCTGCCTCCCCAGCACCTTTAAGAGTGGGGTTCATACCCTGGGAACCCTTCCCTGCCTCCCCAGCAGCTCTGACAGAGGGGTTCATACCCTGGGAGTCCTTCCCTGCCTCCCCAGCAGCTGTGACAGAGGGGTTCACTCCCCTAGGAGCCCTTCCCTGCCTCCCCACAGCTCTGACAGAGGGGTTCATACCCTGGGAGCCCTTCCCTGCCTCCCCACAGCTCTGACAGAGGGGTTCATACCCTGGGAACCCTTCCCTGCCTCCCCAGCAGCTGTGACAGAGGGGTTCATACCCTGGGAGCCCTTCCCTGCTTCGCAGCAGCTCTGACAGTGGGGTTCATACCCTGGGAGCCCTTCCCTGCCTCCCCACAGCTCTGACAGAGGGGTTCATTCCCTGGGAACCCTTCCCTGCCTCCCCACAGCTCTGACAGAGGGGTTCATACCCTGGGAACCCTTCCCTGCCTCCCCAGCAGCTCTGACAGAGGGGTTCATACCCTGGGAACCCTTCCCTGCCTCCCCACAGCTGTGACAGTGGGGTTCATACCCTGGGAACCCTTCCCTGCCCCCCCACAGCTCTGACAGAGGGGTTCATACCCTGGGAGCCCTTCCCTGCCTCCCCAGCAGCTGTGACAGAGGGGTTCATACCCTGGGAACCTTTCCCTGCCTCCCCAGCAGCTCTGACAGAGGGGTTCATACCCTGGGAACCCTTCCCTGCCTCCCTTCTTTCTCCAGCACCTCTGATACAGGGGTTTGTTCCCCTAGGAGCCCTTCCCTGCCTCCCCAGCAGCTCTGACAGAGGGGTTCATACCCTGGGAACCTTTCCCTGCCTCCCCAGCAGCTCTGACAGAGGGGTTCATACCCTGGGAACCCTTCCCTGCCTCCCCAGCACCTTTAACAGTGGGGTTCATACCTGGGAGTCCTTCCCTGCCTCCCCAGCAGCTCTGACAGAGGGGTTCATACCCTGGGAACCCTTCCCTACCTCCCTTCTTTCTCCAGCACCTCTAATACAGGGGTTTGTTCCCCTGGGAGCCCTTCCCTGCCTCCCCAGAAGCTGTAACAGTGGGGTTCACTCCCCTGCGAGCTCTCAGTGGGCACCAGTGCCTGATGAACTCATCTCTCCTTGCCCTGCAGGGCTTCTGTGCCACCCAGCCACGGCTCCTGGTGTTTTTCTGAGGATTAGGATTCAGGTTATCCCTCTCCAGTCGGAGCTGAGTCACTGAGTCATTTCCTTTTGGCCCCTGTGCACAGAATTCTGTGTCAGCAGAGTGCCTGACACAGGATCTTTGCTGCACTTTGTCACCTGGGCTCAACAGGATGAAATGCTGGGGGATGAGACCATTCAGGGGCATTTCTGTGTGGCAGCTGAGGGGTGCTGGGGTGTTACAATTCACCCTGGAGCTTATCTACAGCAGGATGGGAAAGCCAGGAGCTGGGGATTTACCTGATTTTTGATAAGTCTGGGGTCACTTTAATGTGCTACCCATGAGAATCGCAGCTGGCCCTGCTAAATCTGAAAATCTGAGTCAGCTTGGAAAAGACTTTCAGTATCTGATGGAGTGGATCAATATATATAAAACAAAATTCTGTGTTTCTTTCGTGATCCACGGGGGGGAAAAGAAAGCACTATCCAGATTTCAAGCTTGAATTTTAGGAATTCTTGAGTGGTTTAGAGGACCAGGTTGATGTTAGGACACAGATAAGGATATTCTGATCAGTGATACTTGACCAGGTCACACTGATGTGCCAGACTTAGAAGCTCCAATGCTTAAGCCAGGAAAACAACCCAGTATTTTGTGGTTTTCCCATTCCAGGGTATTTTCGTGGCCTGCATGACAGCCATCCTGAGGCAGATGGATGATTTCCACTACAGCCATTACATCAACACCTTCAAAACCAGGCAGGACATCATTGTAAGTCAGCCTGGCTGGGGAATGACCTCAGCCCACCCAGCATCACCTCTCTGCTCTGCAGGGTCATTTCTGGGCTGATTTTGGGGTGACCAAACCCTCAGCAGTGGCTCCTGGGGCCACAGTTTCTGGGAATTTATTCCAGTCACCCTTGCTGGGCATCCGGGGTGCCCAAGAGCAGCTTTGTGGCATTGAGGAAAAACATTTTTTAATGGGTAAAAAAATGTTTGATTTGAGTCAGGAGCCAGAAGAGGGAATGAAGATGGAAAATAAAAACATTTCCCTTTATCTGGCGCTCACTTTGTGCCCCTGTTCTCTTTATCTAATTCTTTCCCCTCCTCTGAAATTTAATTAAACGCTTGAATCTTGCTTTAGTGCAGAAAGTTCTCAAAATGTTAAAAATTCGCGTCCCCCAAAAACTTGGGGTGTGAAACAAGGTGAAATATTACATTTCTGAGGGGTTTTTCTGCTCAAAATCAGCAGATTTTACCCCAAACTCCCCAAAATGGCCTAAACTTTTATTTTAGCAAGACTGGCACACAACACAAGAACTGTTGGAGCTTTTTTTGTCCCTGTATTCTTATTTTACAATTGGGAAGTGGCTGTTTATTGAAATACCAGCTGGGGAAGGGCCTGGAGGGGTGTTTTTCCTGTACCAAAACCCACCAGAAGCTTTGGAATTCAGTTTGGGGAGCCAAGGTGATCCCTTTTTTCCCCTGTGCAGTTGGAAATACAGAATTTCACAGACAATCACTTGCAAAATCAGCTCTTGAGCCAGCATGGAGCAACAGAGCCATCTACAGTTCACTCACACTTCATGTGGGTTTAGGACTGGTTTTATCTTACCCAAATGATTTGTTGGGCAGGAAGGAAGGAAGGAAAAAAAAAGCCAAAATCAGGCGGATTCAGGATTTCTGGAAGTGTTCATCCAGTGAGAAGATTTTCAGGATGATTATAGAAAATAATCATTTCTAATCTGATTTTTATACACCTTTAAATCAGGAGCAAACCTGCCTTTGTAGTGGTGTGGTGGTTGTTAATACCAACAGAAAGTTTTGTTTTTAAAACTCCTTTTATTTCTGTTGTTCTTTTTTGGGTTTGTTTGTGCTGCCTTGGCATCATTCCCTGGTGAGTTTAGCACTTTTAGGAGTTAATTCATATCTTCAAGGTGCCATGTCAAGTCCAACCCTCTCCTCAGGCTCTGATTTAACAATGCCAAAAGGATTTTTACTGAGGCAGCACCAAGTGCTTCATTTCTCCATCAATATCTTGCCAATTCTTCAGCCCAAACTGTTCAGCTCAACAGATTTTTTTGCTGGTGATCATTTCAAGGGGATGGTTCCTCCTGTGACCTTCTTTGTGTCCCTCTCATATTTGAATATCAATGTGCTGCTGCAGAGAATAGAATTGATTTAAGAGCTCAGAGTGGCTTTTGTATCTGCAGAGACCACAAGGAGGAGATCAATATTCCTGATATTCCCTTCTTTTGCTCATCTCTGTTAATTTTCCTTTTTTTTTCCCTCTAATTCTGCAATTCAACCTTGTTTTTTTCCAAGTTTGAAGTCACGTTTGGAGGGTGTTTGTGCAAAAAAAGTGTCTTTTCTACAATAATGTAGAATCACATCTAAATCACATCTTTGATGTTATATTCACTGCCTCTCTTTAACTGCCTTTAAACTGGACCAGGAAAGATTTAACCCACATTAGTGAGTGAAAGTACATTGTCATTTCAGACTTTCTAGATCATTTAGATCTGTTGCACTGTCAGCACTCAGAGATTTGGGAACAAGCCTTGCAATATTGGTTTTGCTCTCTAATCCAGCTTCTGCACAGCTTAATGCAAAACAGCAAAGACAGATATCATTAAGCAGACCAACATTCTGTGCAATTATTTCTCCTTGTGCAAGTGGATGGATGAGATGTCAGGAATAATTTCATTATTGGGCTGTACCAATAATGAGAGACTCCTCTTAGGCAGGGCAGGGCACTGATTAATCACTGCAATCCCAAATATTTGCATTTCCCCAGCTCACAGCATCATCTCCCTGTAATTCCATGGACACAAACCCACCACGTGCAACCTGATGGGCTTTTCTTTTTCCAACAGGATTTCCTGATGGAAACATTCATTATGTTCAAGGATTTGATTGGGAAAAACGTCTATGCAGCTGACTGGATGGTGATGAACATGATGCAGAGCAGGTACAGGGTTTAAATCTGGGTTAAGTCTGGCTTTGGAGCCTCCATGGACCTACCCACACAAGGCAGTTTCTTTTCTTCAGCTGCTTCAGGTTGGTTTAAATCAGATTTCAGCCAGTTTTAGTTCCACTGCTGGAACTGGAAATCTCTGTCCTGCCTAGAATATAATTGAACCCTGGGGTCTTTTTTATAACTTAATCCAGAAAAGCTTTTTTTTGTCTCACTTCTGGGGGAATCACATGGAAAACCTAAAGCCAGAACTGGATAATGTTTAACCCCTCTTGCAGAGAGGAAATTTTCCCCAATATCTAACCTGAGCCTCCCCGATGCAACTTGAGGCTGTTAAAGCAAGGGTTAACTTTGCCTGAATATTCCCTGATTTAAAGAATTCCAGCCTTTTTTGGGATCATCTCTTGCTGTCTCCTGAGCTTGCACATGGGAGCTGTAAACCCAGAGGTGCAATGTCACTGATTTTGCTCACAGAATCACCTTTATTTGATGTTTTTTATCTCTTTAGGGTTTTCCTCCGGGCAGTGAACCAATTCACCTCCGTCCTCAACCGCTTCTTCCTGGATCAAGCTAATTTTGAACTCCAGGTGATTGTCCTGTTTTTCTGGATTTTCTTATGGATCCCAGACCTGCTAGAAGAGCTAAATCCCACTGGTAGCAGGCTGTGGCTCACTGTAGTTCCCCTCCTCATGGAGGGAGCTCTGGGCAGCTTTTTTTGTGCCAGTTGTTGCTTTTCCTTTGTTATCCTCCCATTTTAATCTCCTCTCTCTCCCCCAGCTCTGGAATAATTATTTCCATTTGGCCGTGGCCTTCCTCACTCACGAGTCCCTCCAACTGGAGACCTTCTCCCAGGCCAAACGCAACAAAATCATCAAGAAGTGAGTTCCCATTTCAGGCCCTTTTTTTGCACTCTCACACAGCCCCGGGGTGGAAATGCTGATTAAGGCACTGTGATAAGGGGGTGAGCAGGACAAGATGTCAGGGCTGTAAATTAGGGTTGCTGGAAGTTTAGGCAGGCAGATCTTGAACACCTTGCCAGGAGTCTCTCCACGGAGAGGTCTGTAATGGAAAGGTTGTCATGATTCCCAAAATTCCCTTTTGCAATTCCTCAGCCTTTGTGGAAGGTAGGTCAGAGGAATCCTAAAAGCTCTCCAGCTTTTAATCCCCCACCTTTTATTTTTTCTTCTTTTCAGTGCCATTCATAGCTCCAAACCAGCAATTTTTAGTCACTGAGCAGCTTTTGCATCTTCATTTCCTTGGAGTTGGGTGCCTCTGAGCATCTTGACACAGACTTTTGTTATGATTTGTCCCCTTTTTTCTGCAGAAGTGGCTTGAAGAAGCCTGATAATGAAATCTTTTTGCATTGTCATGATGTCAGAGATTAAAGCTTTAGGAAAAAAAACCCCAAACCCAACCAAAGTGGGGTGGAATTGATTGGAGGAAGCAGGAGGGGCTGCAGCTTTCAGGAAATCTGAATTTCCAGGAAATTCTGCTCTCAGCAATCTGCAGTGCCCTCTCAGAGTGAGCCATGGCCACTTGTGGCTTTGCCATTCACTTCTCCAGCAGCATTCCAAGGATCATTTCAGTGCTTGGGCCTTTCTCATCTCTTCTTTTAATTCTGTTTCCAGGTATGGGGACATGAGGAAAGAAATTGGCTTCAAAATCAGGGATATGTGGTATAACCTGGGTGAGTTCCAGAGAAATAATTACCTTTATTCCAGCTCTCAAGCTGGCTTTCAGATCCTTTTATTTCCTTATAAAAGCTGCACGTGTTTAATGTGGGGAAATGCACTTAAACTTCAGCTGTTTCAGCACACAAAAACCTCCTTTTTCCTGTGAATAACTTGGAAAAGCTGATTTTCTCCTCACATCAGCTGCTGAGATAATTTCTTAGATTCCCTCTAAAGGATGTCCTGCTATGTAAAGGGTGAGTGGGATTTTTCAGAGAGCTTTTTTTTTTGTGCTTTATAATTCAGCTCAATTATTTCCTTGGGCTGTTCCTGAATTTTGGAGCTGTAACCTGTTAATTCTTCCTTAAGTAACATCCACATAAAATCCACATTCTGAGCAGAGTGTTTGTTGTGTGAATAATGTGCTTAAACATTGGGAAATCCAAACCCTGCCACTGGATGGATTTGACTTTCAGTTTCTTGCAGGTCCCCACAAAATAAAATTCATCCCAGCAATGGTGGGGCCAATCCTGGAGGTGACCCTGGTCCCAGAGCCTGAGCTGAGGAAAGCAACAATTCCCATTTTTTTTGACATGATGCAGTGTGAGTTCAACTTCAGTGGGAACGGGAATTTCCACATGGTAAGGGATGCCCTATATAACTAATATATACAATAATGCAATATATATAGATATTAAATACAATATAATATGAAATATAGATATACAATATGCAAAAAGACAATATTTTAGTGTATAATATGTACAGTATTATACAGAATGTGATTGTATATTCATTATGTATGACTATAAAATAATATGTATTTAAAATAATATATATATTAAAATAGTATATAATAAAATATTTAATATATTTAACTATAAAGATATAAATATATAAATACAATATATTTAAAATAATATATATATATAAAAATAATAATATATATATTAAAATGCACTGTAATACATGTATTTGCAATATACACACAATACTGGTATCTTCACTACAAATGTTCCATATTCTCCATCGGGCAAAATAAAAATAGAATACTTGAACAAAACTAAAAAATTCCCACCCAAAATTGTGCCAAACCCCTTGGCAAGTCCCTCTGGTTTGTAAGATTCAGGACTTGCCAGTTCTGTCCTGCCTGAGCCTTTCCATGACTTTGACAATCCTTTTTTCCCCTTTTTCCCCTTTTTTCCCCTTTTTTTAACTGTTTCCCAGTTAAGAGGTGAGCACTGACACCTCTGCAAACGCAAGCCCTTCCTTGCATTTGCAGAGGTGTCGATGTTCACCTCTAAACTGGGAAGCAGTTTGGGGACCTCAGAGGGTCTAAAATACAATTTTAGCTGTTTATTCACCTTTACAATAACAACATAAAATCCCCCACAGCAGACTTTGGGCTGTAAGTGCCTGCAGAAACCTGCTGGGCAGTCAAATATTCGGATTTTTTGGTCGCAGAGCGCTGCTGTGTGGGGTGGCAGAGGGAGGACTTGCATTTCCTTGCTCCATTCTTATATTTTGGATTTTTTCCTCCTTTTATTCTGCCTCAGCACTGAGAGCAGCCTGGCCTTGGCCTGTGGGGAGGCTCAGGAGCCCCCCAGGCTGTTCCTGTGCCAGCCCCTGCTCCTGAGAGCTGCTCCATGGTTTGACTGGGATTTTTGTGCCTTTCCAGTTTGAAAACGAGCTGATCACCAGGCTGGACCAGGAGGTGGAGGGGGGCCGAGGGGATGAGCAGTACAAGATCCTGCTGGAGAAACTGTGAGTTTTTAAAAGCACCTGGAGGCTCTTTTTTTATCTTTTCCACACTTTATTGGGCTGCTTTATTAATGCAAAGAAGCCCTAATTCGTTAATTATTCCAGTGAGCAGGAAGGTGGAGCAGCTGCAGTGATCTTAGTGCTGTGCAGGTGTTCTGAGGCTGATTGCCCAAAAATTAGAGGTTTATTTGCACTTTTAACTGCCTTAAACTGGAGATGGAATTCAGAGTCGGCTGCCAAACTTTGGGAGGGGGCTGCAAGTGGAAGAGCAGGCTAAATTGGAGCTTTTAGCAGCAAAAACTCAATTTTTTTTTGACCAGCAAGTGCTGTCCTGCCCTGCCTGAGTTGGCAGTCTCAGGTGTGTGTGTCCAGCAGCGAGTGTCCATCCAGGGAAACGTTGAAGATTTTGGGTAATTCCCAGGGAAATGCCATTTGGCAGTGCTGGGAGGCAGAGCTGAGCGCTGCCCGTGTCCCTGCAGGCTGCTGGAGCACTGCAGGAAGCACAAGTACCTGTCAGCCCCGGGAGAGGTGTTTGCCCTGCTGGTCAGCAGCCTCCTGGAGAACCTGCTGGACTACAGGACCATCATGCATGATGAGAGCAAGGAGAACCGCATGAGCTGCACCGTCAACGTGCTGGTACGGCTGGGGACACGTCCCGGGGCTGGGGACCCTTCCCTGGGGCTGGGGACCCTCTCCTTGGGCTGGGGACCCTCTCCTTGGGCTGGGGACCCTCTCCTTGGGCTGGGGACACGTCCCGGGGCTGGGGACCCTTCCCTGGGGCTGGGGACCCTCTCCTTGGGCTGGGGACCCTCTCCTTGGGCTGGGGACACGTCCCGGGGCTGGGGACCCTTCCCTTTGGCTGGGGACCCTCTCCTTGGGCTGGGGACACGTCCCGGGGCTGGGGACCCTTCCCTTGGGCTGGGGACCCTTCCCTTGGGCTGGGGACCCTTCCCTGGGGCTGGGGACCCTCTCCTTGGGCTGGGGACCCTTCCCCTGGGCTTTAGTGACCTCTCCTGGGCTGGGGACCCTTCCCTTGGGCTGGGGACCCTTCCTTTGGGCTGGGGACCCTTCCCTTCGGCTGGGGACCCTTCCCTGGGGCTGGGGACCCTCTCCTTGGGCTGGGGACCCTTCCCCTGGGCTTTAGTGACCTCTCCTGGGCTGGGGACCCTTCCCTTGGGCTGGGGACCCTTCCTTTGGGCTGGGGACCCTTCCCTTCGGCTGGGGACCCTTCCCTGGGGCTGGGGACCCTTCCCTCGGGCTGGGGACACCTCCCCAGGGTGGAGACTCTTCCCCAGACTGGGGACACCTCCCCTGGGCTTTGGACACCTCCCCATGGCTTTTCTAGACCTCCTTGGAATAATTTTTGATCTAGGGGAGGATTGTAATGAATTCCTCATGCCATTTTTGGTTAATGATGTGCTCGAGTCAGGCTCTGGAGCTATAATCACAGAAAGATGGACAGTCCAAAATCAGGTCCTTGGCTGATCCTCCCAATCTGGAACCCTGGGACACAGGCAGAGGCCGGGATCCCTGTTCCCCTGCAAAGAGCCTGTCTAACTTTAGACAAGTGATTTCTCTGATTTGTCCCTTTTTTGGAGGTGCTGGTGCCCCTCTGGTATGAAGGGATGGTCCCAGAGATGGATCCACCTGAGCAGCCAAAACAACAGCAAATAGCCCTGAAATTCCTAAAACTGCTGCTCAGGTTACTTGCCTAGAGATGATTCTGCAAATCTGTGTTGCTCCACATTGCCAATGTTGGACTTTTTCTCTTGTTGGCAGAATTTTTACAAGGAGAAGAAGCGAGAGGACATTTACATCAGGTAGGCCGTGTCCTGGAGCCTGGCCAAGCCTTTGGAGCTCCCGTGGATACAGGAATCCTTCCCACCAAGGAATTGCTTTTGCTTTTCTCAGGTATCTGTACAAGCTCAGGGACCTGCACACAGACTGTGAGAACTTCACAGAGGCTGCCTACACCCTGCTGCTGCACGCTGAGCTGCTCCAGGTATCCCCGGGTTTGGGATTGCATGAGGCAAAAACACCTCAGAATAAACAAAACCCACATTTTTCTGCTTTTTATGGGACTTTTTAGGTAGCAGTGGTCATTGAGTGGTTTCACAGTCTTGGGGATTCCACAGCAAAATAATTATAATTATGATATATATAATTATATATACATAAAATTATATAGTTATATATATATGTGACAAGCACATTTCTCTCCCTCTCAAGATTTTTCATAGAGGTGCACAGAGAGAAATGAAAGAGAAAACAATTTCTATTTCTGCTGATTGTTTTTCCTATGTAGAATGTGTTTAGAGAATTGTTTACCTAAAATAAGTGCTTGATTTGATTCTGGTGAGGATTGTTTGAGCCTGATGGCCAACCCAACCCAACCCAACCCAACCCAACCCAATCCAATCCAACCCAATCCAACCCAACCCAACCTCCCTGGGGTTGGACTCTCAGAGAGGGTCATGAGTTGTGAGCAAGTTAGAGTCAGAGAAAGTAGTGTGTAGTTTTAGTATCCTCCTTTCATATAGTATAATTATGTATTTTAGCATAGTTATAATAAAGAAATCATTCAGCCTTCTAAACTGAGTCAAACATCATCATTTCTTCCCATTGAGTTCACCTACATTAACTATATATATATAATGATATTATGAGATATAAATAATCACATATGATATATCTATATAATTGTATGTTATATATAAAATAAGTGATATAATAAAATAATAATGACAAAAGAAGAATCGTTATTATCATCCTCTTGCTGCAGTGAGCTGGGAGAGAATGTCTCAGGTTTTTATCCCTGCCAAACATCCTTTGCCTCGGTGAGGGATTTGTTTTGAGTCGCCCTGTGAGGATTTATCTGGAAGTGTGGCAGTTGTTCCAGCTTTGCCTTTTCCCTGTGCCAGTGGTCAGAGAAGCCCTGTGTGCCTCACCTGCTGCAGAGGGACTCCTACTGCGTGTACTCCCAGCAGGAGCTCAAGGAGAAGCTCTACCAGGAGATCATCTCCTTCTTCGACAGGGGCAAGGTGAGATCCTCACCCCGTTCCTGCAGCAATCCCTGCCTTGGCAAACCCACTTTGCTGTGGATTTAGGATTTCCTCACTGGGAAACTCTTGGCTCGGTGGTTGGGGCAGGCTGGGGTTGGTTAAAAGGGGAAAAGCAGATGTGGTTCCACAGCTGGCTGGGATTTTGACAGGGATCCCAATGCTGCCATCATGATTTAAATATCTCCAGACAAACACGTGCCTTTGTGTTATCTGGTGATATTTAAATCCTATTTGTGTGTTGGCCAAAGAGTGTCTGGAAGGTGAAGCTGTTCAAGGTTCTGGGTAGATGGGAGCAGGGCAGGAGTTTTCCTTCCTTGCTTCCCCTGGGAGTGGCTCCTGGCAGGTTTCTGGGCTTGCAGGGAGAGAGGCTTCCCTGGCTGGCACTGACCTGGTAGCTGCACCTCGGGGAGAGGCTTCTGCCAGGGCTGAATGGCTCTGAGCTGAAATAAGGGAAATTTAGGTGGGATCTTGGGGAGGAATGTCAGGGTTTGGGATGGAATTCCCAGAGCAGCTGTGGATGCCCCTGGATCTCTGGGAGTGTCCAGGCTGGAGCAGCCTGGGACAGTGGGAGGTGTCCCTGCCCATGGCAGGGGTGGCACTAGGCTCTGAGGTCCCTTTCCACCCAAATTCCATGATTCCATGATGAGACAAACCCAAGGAACCCCTGTCCCTGTGCTGCTGGAGGAGGAGACCACCTGGGCTTCTCTCTCTGCTGTTCAGACCTGTCCTTCCTCCTCCCAGTGCCTCAGTTTCTCGTGTCAGGATCTCAGTGGAGACCTGGCTTTGTAAATCACTCTCAGATCTCCAAATCACAAGATCTGTATGACTGTAATAATCCCTGCAAAAAAAAAAAAAAAAAAAGAAAATGCACAGCAGAGTCTGAGGGAAACCTGGCAGAGCATGAAAGTAGTGCCTGAATTAAAATCAGCTGCGTTTTTGTTTACCTATTTGTGCTAATGAAGGCTTTTAACTGAGTCTTTCATGTTGCTTGTGCTCTTCTTCCCCCTCCTGCCTGTCCTCACCCTCTGGAGATGTGGGAAAAAGCCATTCAGCTGAGCAAGGAGCTGGCTGACATGTATGAAAACAAGGTCTTTGACTACGAGGGACTTGGTAATCTCCTGGTAAGGCTTTTTTCCTCCATATCCAGCAGGCTGCTGACTGCTTCAGTTAATACTGTTCAACAGGATAAGCCTAAAATAAATATATGTTAAAGACAAAAAAACCAACTTAACCCCATGGTTTTGTAAAGGTTAGTAGTAGAATAAATATTTTCATAGTGTCTTTTCACCTCCTAATTAGCATGATAATGCCATTTGCAGATGTTTAGAATTATTGATCTTAACCAAATGAATTCAGGGTGTATTTTCAGGCTCCATAAATCACATCACCTTGTTATTTCTGTGGTCAAAGTGCTGGGCATGAGCACAGAGCTAGAGAATCCTCTTGGCTCCGAATTCTGCTTTTTAGTGGTTAAGGATGGAACCAGATGGTCTTTATGTTCTTTCACAACAGAATCATCTGCCCAGTTTTATTTCTGCCAGTTCTCTGACATTTGTCACCACTTGTGTCTGTTCTCTTTCAGAATGTATTTGTATTTCATTTGTTTTCCCACAGTGAAGGATTTCAAATATCCTTCTGGAATCCTAAAGCCGTGGCATTGTTCTCATGTCTGCAGACCAGGAAATGAAGTTGGTTCTGGCCCAGACAAAGCAAATATTTAATCAAGTAAATGGATAAGGATGAGAGACTGCATCAAAGGGCAGTTGTGAAGTGTGTTCTGAGGGCAGAGATCAGGAATTGTCCCTGGGAATGTGAGCTGGCAGTGTCCTGGACTATTCCAAAGTGAAAGTGTTGTTTTCTTTTCCAGAAAAAAAGAGCTACTTTCTATGAGAACATCATGAAGGCCATGAGACCTCAGCCTGAGTACTTTGCTGTTGGGTACTATGGACAGGGTTTTCCCTCTTTCCTGAGGGTAAGGATCCTTCCCCACTCAACCTCTCCACTGCTGGAGACCCTAAAAGTCACAATTTTTGCAGAGCTTCCAAGAAAATTCGGTGCCAAACTCCTTTTCCTTTCAGTGGCACTGACAGATCTAAATCCCAGGAGTGTTTCAGAGCATTTCAGTGTCTAAAAAGAATCAAATTAGAGATGAAATTTTGTGTGTTCCAGCTCAAGTGGAGTCTGGGTGTTACAATAGGTTTTTTAGATGAGTGTTAAATTCTTCTATGGATTTAAGCAGAATTTACCTTCTGTGTTTGTGCTCCCTCTGAAATGTGATTGCTGCTGTTAGAAAATATTTGGCATGTGAAGAAATTATCCCATTGCTTTTCAGCCTCAATAAACCAAATTTTCAGAACGGGGATTATTCATATATAATGATATATATATATATAAAATGATATAGTTATATATATAATGATATAATGAGATATATTATGTGTGGGACAAACTTTCTCTCAGGTAGAGTTTGTCCCACACAGAAGAATTCAAGTGTAAAGGTGATTCTTATTTAAGACAGCTGCTGAGCACTGCTGGATCTGTGTGGAGGACAGGAATGACTCAGATCCAGGGTCAGCAAGGCTGAAAATATTCCTGTTATTTAAAATTCAGGGCCATTTTACCTGCTCAGACTGGAGCTGTTTGAAGTTCTGGTCTTCAGTGGATGCCAAGCTTAAAAAAAAGAGGAGAATGTTAAGTTAGAGCTGTGTGAGGAGATGGCACAGAGGGCTTTCGGCTCCAGGCCAGGTTTTGGAATCCATCCCTTCCTGAAACCACTGCCAGGTGGAAAAATGGTTGGCCATGGTTTGGTGGTGGGTGTGTAGAACAGAACTGCCAGGACATTGTGGGTGGTGGTGGTCAGGAATGGGACTGAGGTGAAATTCCCACCTGTGCCAGGGACATCCCTCAGGGAGCTCACACCAGGCCTGGCAGGCAGCAGGCAGCTGCCTGTATTTGAGAATTTCCTGGCACATTTATTCTGGTACTAAAAACCAGCTCCTGGCTGAGATTCCTGTGCTGAAACTGGGAGTTTTGGGAGTGCTGGGAGGTGTGAGCAGCCCGGTGACTCTGGGCTGTGTTTGTGTGGACAAACCTGTGTGAGGGTGTCCCTGCTCATTGCAGGTGGCCTTTAAAAGCTCCTTTCCAACTCTAGTTGATGATTCTTTTCGGAGCAATGGATTTTTTAGACAAATCTGAGGTTCCCCTTGCTCCCAGGAGATGCTGTGCCCTCATTCCTGTGTTCCTCCCTTCACCTTTTCTGTCCTGCTGGGATCAACCTTTCCCATAAACCAGGTTTGGAAAGCTCAGTCCCACTGCTTTGTTGTGTTTTAATTCCCTTTTTCTTCTCCTGCCCACAGAATAAGGTTTTCATCTACCGTGGCAAAGAGTACGAGCGGAGGGAGGATTTTAACCTGAAGCTGCTGACCCAGTTCCCCAGTGCTGAGAAGATGACCAGCACAGCCCCTCCAGCAGAGGAGATCAAGGCTTCCCCCAGACAGTGTATCTTTTGGGTTTGGGGCAGCTTGGCACGCCCCAGAGCTCCCTGTTCCCTACAACACCAGCAGCAGTGAGAAGTGAGGGGTTCTTGCTTCAGGGGGATGTGGAGGCAGGCATTGGGCATGAAAATGGGGCTATCCAGAGCTGTAAGGGTGGATTTAAAGGCTGTTTGAGGCTGTCAGAGTTAAACAAGTTGCTGTCAGGGTGAGAAACAGGCTGCAGGGAGGATTTCCTGTGTTCTCACTCAGGTGGTGCTGGCTGCTTTGGCCATGGTGGGACCCACTTGGCTGTTTCTGGGTGACAGATGGGAAATGCAGGCTGTGAAAGTAGGATGAGAAGTGAAGGGTAATCCTTTCTTCCTTGCAGTCCTTCAGCATTTATGAAGTGCTGGGGTTTGTGTGTTTTTTCCCCTGCAAGTGCCTTTGTAAGAAGTGTGAAGTGATTATGTCACTAAAAGTTGTTAGGTGCAGAGCCCGTACTGGTTTTTAATGCTGATTTTTTCCCCTTGCTGGTGGGACTCCAGGCTGTGTCCCAAGCTCCCCACCAGGCTTCAGATCCTCTGAATTGTGAGTGTGAGCCAGTGGAGATGCTCCAGATTGCTGCCAGTGACTCCAGTCAGGAAAGCCAAGTTCTGGGTTTCCAGCCTGTGCTCTCCAGGCCAGGCTGAGGAATCTGAAGGTCCATTTTGGCCCTCAAACCCTGTGCACAAAGGCCCAGCCCAGGCAGTGATAGCAGATGCTTCCTGCTCAATCCTCCTGCCAAGCACTGAATCCACATAGGAAATTAAAATCCATTCAGGATCAAACTTGGTATCAAAAATGCCTCTTCTGTTGCTGCTTTGTTTCAGCTGCTTCCTTTGCATCTGTTTGTGTTTGTTCTGATGTTTCTGGCTCGGGATGAAGCTGAGCAGCAGAATTTGGATGCAGATCTGAACCCTCCCCAAGGTTTGGGGGTGTTGGGTTCCGGGACTCTGGCACAGCCCTGGGATGAAGGGAGCAGCTGCAGGGCTTGGATTTGGGACAGGTTCTCCTTGGACTCCCACAAACCTCCCGAGATGAGGAGTGCCCAGATCTCTGTTGTCTCAGGCAGACCTTGCTGCTTCTGGGGTTGGTTTTAATTTCAGCCTCCTTTAGCCTCCTTTGCCTCAGGCTCTTTTTTATTTCTTTAGGCTTTTTTTTTTTTTGCTCTTGTACGACAAAATACCTGGTTTTTCTTTTGGTAGTGATGTGCTGGGGCTGCCAGATGAGCTGTGCTGAGCCTCAGGGTTCCCTGCAGCCCAGAGCAGCCCAGTGGCACAGCTGGGCACGGGGAGATGTGCAGGGCTCAGTGGGGCACCAGCCCAAGGCAGGGGCTCTGCTGGCACACACAGCTCCTCAGCTGGGCTCAGAGCCTGGCCCAGCTGCCTCTGGGCTTTTGGGCTCAGCTGTCCCTGGGGTCAGCTGCCTCCTCGCTGCACGCATGGTGACTTGGCCCTGGCTCCCAAAATGCTCTTCAGAGCTGCCTCAGTGAATTAAAAAATGTGTGGGGGCTTCCTTAACCCTCCACTGAAACTCTGCCCCTTCAGAGGGCAGGGGATTCACAGAAGTCATCTGTGGGAATCCAGAGCATCCCTCTGGCTGCCCTGGGACCCTGGCAGGGGTCAGGAACCCCCCTGGACAGAGCCCCCAGAGACACTGTCTGTGATCTCTGTCCATGGAAAAGAGTTTTCAATCTTACAGGATCAATTACCAGCTCTGAGTGTTTGATATAAGTAATAATTAACTGTGGCACGGGTGCAAAAGTAAAATTTTAGGATTCTAGATAAGGGGTCCAAAGGGGACAAGATGGAGGAAATTGGGTGTGCCTTGTCCTTTTCTCCTTCTTCATGCCCTCCATGTCTCACTGTGGTGTTGGCATTTTTCTGTTGGTTCAGGCTGGGGACACACTGTCCAACGTAGGTGACAGATATTGGCACGTTATTGTAAATCCAGCACAGGTAGTTTGTGGTATTTAATGTTTGTACCATCCCACTGAGGGCAGAGCCCCACACGCTGCCCTGCAGGACAGAGCTGCGGCAGGGCAGCAGAACATGGTAGAGATAAACAGAATAAACAACCTTGAAACCAGCACAGACCAATTATGGCTTCTGCTTTGGCAGCGGGGCTGACAGACAGAGACTTTCTACAATCTCAGAATCACCAATACCTCAGATTCTGACAGTCATCTCCTAATGGGGTCAGATTGGCTCAGCCTTGCTTTTCCAGGCAGGCTTTTGTCCCTGTAAAGCCTCAGCACAGTCCTTAAAGCAGAATTTTGGAGGAACATGATAAGCTGTTGTGCTTGGGGATACAATTGCTGCGATCTCTTTCATGTCTGTCATGATTCACATGTGCAAAAGCTGAGTGTGAAACAATTCCTTTGTTCAGTTGGCTTCGTGAATCTAAAAAGTGGGAGCGAAGGAGCAGCAGCCTGAGATAAATACCTGTGGGGTGAGAGAGAGAAATACCTGTGGGGTGAGAGAGAGAAATACCTGTGGGGTGAGAGAAATACCTGTGGGGTGAGAGAAGAGGCAGATGCATCACAGAACCTCCTGCAGAACCTTGCTGCTCTTTTTCTTGTCTCCCAAAGTAGAAATCAGTGGTGCCAAGGATTCCCAAGCATTTTCAGGGAATTTCAGCACCTGGAAGTGTCCAAGGCCAGGCTGGAGCACCCTGGGGTAGTGGAAGGTGAACCTGTCCATGGCAGGGGTTGGCCATGGCTGAATTTCGAGGTCCTTTCCAACCCAAACCATCTGGGATTATTATTTGTAAAGTCCTTTTCTTTTGGGGTCTTTAATTCACAAAGAGCCTACGAACTGCAAGGTGCAACAGAATGCCTGTGATTTGTGATGAATTAGTCAGGTTTGAAGAAAAATACTTAACGAGAGCGCAGGGATTTGTGGAAAAGTCTGACAGTGGAAACAGGAAGGGTTTTTCTCTCCCTCTCCTGTTTTCCCAAAAGGGTTCCTAGTTTTTCATCCTTAACCAGAGCTGCTCAGATGTGCAATGCTTCATTGTGAAGCCTGTGATGAACCTGCCACCTAATTACAAAGACAAACCTGTTCCTGAGCAGATCTTAAAGTAATTTCTTGTTCTTTTCCCTCAATGTTTTGCGTGTGTTTTCCCCACAAGGTGCTGTGCTTTTGTGTCTTGTGTAAATTGTGTCAATTCCTCCCCACAAACTGTGAGGAAATACTTGAACATTTGAGTGAGGAGGATGGGAGGTGAGGAAAATCACCTTTTTACTCTGCTTCTTCTCAGCTACTACAGAGCCAACGAGGTGCAGCAATTCACTCACTCCAGACCTGTCAGGAAAGGAGAGAAAGATCCAGACAACGAGTTTGCTGTGAGTCCTTTGCTTTTTGTTTGGTTTGTTGGTGGCATTTTGACCAAACTGTCACCTTTTCCCTCTCTTGGGGCCACAGAAGTTGGGAAGGAAAAAGCAGGAGACACAAAGGGCATTGCAGTCTCCACCTGAAGCTGGGGGTGATGTTCAGCTCCTCAGAGCTGGAGTTTGAACATTCAGAATCCATAAATGTGGTGTGTGGGAGCCCAGCCTCACCAGAGCCCATCCCAGAGAGGGGAGGTGGGAATGGCTGTGGAGTTCTGCCAGCTTGTCCTGGAAGCCTCATTCCATGCAGGAGAGACTTGAGTTGTAATGATTTATTAAAAAAATATGGATATTGATCTAGTACCGATATCCAACTGTGAGGGACAAAAGCTCTCGAACAGTTTAAAGTTAGAAAGTGTGTGTTTATTGTGTGTGGGATCGCTCCCAAATCCACACCGCAGCTTCCAGGTGATTACAGAGCCCTTTTATCCATACAAGTGTTGAATACCCAAAATACAAATGCAAATTCATCATTTTGGTACATCCCATTCCTCATTTCAAAATCTATTCAGCATGCGTGGTTTGTTCCCTGAAATGGGTCGGTGTCCCTTCCATGGGGAGGGGTCCCAAAATGAGGAAGTCAATGAAGTCTTCCTCCTTCTGACCTTTCTACCTTTTCAATGCAAATATGACAAATGAACTCTTGGTAGAACTCCCATTCCTTGTCTTCAGTTGGTTTCAGAACAGAGGAGGCCCCCAATTGTCTGATGTTCCTAAAAGCTCTTTGTCAGTGTGTGTATTCTTCATTATAAACCCAGCTAACTAAACATTGTGCTGAGGAGCAATCAGTTATTAGTTAACTCCTAACTCTTAACTTCATCAAGGCCTACTCATTTATTTTAATTAACTCTAGTAAGGCTTATCTCTAACTAAAATCTTAGCTCCTCTGACATCTCTAAATTCCTTAAAATTTACGTTTCAGCAAGACCAAATATTTCCCTTACATCTCAGATCTCTTTCTTTCCTTCTCTGACCAGAACATGTGGATAGAAAGGACAACCTACACGACAGCTTATTCCTTTCCAGGCATCCTCAAGTGGTTTGAGGTCAAACAGGTCACAACGGTGAGTTCTCCACGGGGGCTGCATCTCCTCCTCTCCAATCCCTCATGGAATAAAGCCTTGGAGCACTTGGCAGTGCCAGTCCTTCCACGGTTGGATGTGGCACAGATAAAAGCAAATTATTTAGTTTCTTACTCAGTGGAGAGGAATACATCACAGAACATGGAATCCCAGAATGGTTTGGGTTAGGAAGACCTTAAAATCATCAAGTGCCACCCTCTGCCATGGGCAGGGACAAGTTCCATTGTCCCAGGCTGCTCCAGCCTGGCCCTGGACACTTCCAGAGGTTCAGGGCAGCCAGAGCTGCTCTGGGAATTCCATCCCAGCCCCTCCCCACCCTCACAGGGAAGGATTTCTCCCTAAAAACTACATAAAGCTTTGAAAGCTTTATTCTGTGACTCTGCAGAAGGCTTACTCTGTTTCTTCTGTTCCCCAGGAGGAGATCAGCCCCCTGGAGAACGCCATAGAAACCATGGAGCTGACCAATGAGAAGATCACCAACATTGTGCAGCAGCACACGTGGGACCGCAGCCTGCCCGTGCACCCCCTGTCCATGCTGCTCAACGGCATCGTGGACCCCGCCGTCATGGGGGGCTACACCAACTATGAAAAGGTCCTTGGCACATCCAGGGAGCCCCTCTGGTGTTCACCTGGAGAGGGGAAGGCTCCAGGGAGAGCTCAGAGCCTGGAGGGGCTCCAGGAGAGCTGGAGAGGGACTGGGGACAAGGGATGGAGGGACAGGACACAGGGAATGGCTCCCACTGCCAGAGAGCAGAGATGGATGTTATTTTGGGAAGGAATTCCTGGCTGGGAGGGTGGGCAGGGGCTGGGATGGAATTCCCAGTGAGCAGTGGCTGCCCCTGGATCCCTGGCAGTGCCCAAGACCCCAATGGAGCACCCTGGGATGTGTCCCTGCCATGGCAGTTGGTGGCACTGGGTGACTTTTAAGGTCCCACCCCAACTGTTCCAAAATTCCTTGGAGAGGGACTGGGGACAAGGGATGGAGGGACAGGACACAGGGAATGGCTCCCACTGCCAGAGGGCAGGGATGGGTGGGAGACTGGGAAGGAGCTGTTCCCAATAGGTGGGGAGGATCTGGGATGGAATTCCAGAGGAGCTGTGGCTGCCCCTGGATCCCTGCAGTGCCCAGGGCCAGGCTGGAGCAGCCTGGGACAGTGGGAGGTGTCCTGTCCGTGGCAGTTGGTGGCACTGGGTGACTTTTAAGAACTTTTAAGGTCCCACCCCAACCGTTCCAAAATTCCTTGGAGAGGGACTGGGGACAAGGGATGGAGGCACAGGACACAGGGAATGGCTCCCACTGCCAGAGGGCAGGGATGGGTGGGATGTTGGGCAGGAATTCCTCCCTGGGAGTGGCTGGGAGGGAATTCCCCCTGAGCTGTGGCTGCTCTGGGTCCCTGGCAGTGCCCAAGGAGCAGCCTGAGCCCCCAAGTCCCTTCCCAAAGCTCTGCAGGGCTGTGGGAGCTGCTCTGGAGCCCTCAGAGTGCCAGGCCCAGGTGGGAGCAGGTCCAGCTCCATCTCCAGCCCTGTCTGGGGCTCTGTGTGTGCAGAGCTCAGCCAGGAGGAGAGGAGGACAGAGAGCCAGATTTGCACTGGCTGCAGGGTGGAAGGATTCAGGTTCAGAGCTCTCAGGGCCAGGGGAGGATCCAGCTCTTCCTTTGCAGTGGGCTGAGAACCTGCTCCTGCCTTGTGGGGCACAGAGGTGCTTGGGCAGCCTGGGTGCCAGAAAAAAGCCAAAACCTGCCCTTCCTCCCCTGTATTAACAGAAGGCAGAAGAGGCTTTCTCTTGCCAGCAGCCTCTGTGTCTTTGGAGTCTTGCAACAGAGCAAATAATTCAGGGAAAAAAGCAGCATTTCCTGTACAGGTTTACTCAGCTGACTTCGCTTGAGCAGTGTAGGTTGTTCTTTTCTGTGATCTTTAACTTAAGCTGTTGATTCCCTCCCCCTAATGAGGAAATTCCCAGCACAAAATGCACTGCTTGTTTCCACAAAGCTGGTGCAGTGTGGTAAAACACATTTAATTCTCCTCAGCTGTGTCCCAGTCCCCTGAAATGAGGTGCACACCTTAATTGGAAGAGGGGCTGATTGATCTGGGGTCTAACTCTGCTGATTCCAGAGGAGTTTGGATGCTTTGCCAGGGCTGAATTTGGCCCTGGATCCTCCCATTTTGTGAATTAAGGTTGACATCAAGTTTAGAATTACAGAAGTGGGAAAGCAGTTAAAACTAGAAAACACAAAATCTCTGCAGCCACATCTGGAAATACTCATTTCTGATTCATATTTTCCTATTTCAGCTGCAGATCAGTGCAGAACATTTGGCTTTTGTGGGCGGCTAAAATCTGAGTTTTAATTGTTTCATTGTAGCCAAAACCCAAAGTTGGAGTTTTTAACATCTTTCCTCTTGCAATAATTAAGCACTTTCAAGGAAAATCCTCTGGGACCAGCCCAGTGGCCCTTTCCCAGGTTCACCTCCATCCTGTTCAGGATCAACCCCCAGCCCTATAAACTTGTACCACAGTCCAGTCTTACAGAAGTAAAAAAATATACTCAGAGGTTGAAATAGCTCGGAGAGACAAATGAAAAATTTTTATTAGGGGGTTTATCTAAAAAAAAAAACCAAAAAAAAAACAAAAAAAAAAAGTTACTCTGAGCAGGAATTAGGATCCATTTTAATGGGATAGATCATGGGAATTGGCACAAATTTAAGTTTTCGGTCCAGGAAAACGTAATTGTGTTTGTTCAACTTCAAACCAAGACCAGATTCTGCTGATTAAAGGTAAACCCAGGAGAAGTGGAGACTAAAGGTGCTTTGTTGAGGGAAGCTGGGAGCCCAAATCCCAGCATGGTCTTTATTTCTACTGAATCTTTGTAACCAACCCCAGGTGAAAATGGGGGATTTAAGGGCTGAAACAAGGAAATTGCAGCAGGAGCTGCTTTGCTCTCCTTGGAGCAGCTGGCCTTGTGTGCTGTGAGGCACTGACTGCTGAAAAATAAAGAGGCTTTTTGAAGTCAGAACTTGAGGTTTTGGGTCTGCCACTCACATTTAAGTGAGTAGAAGTTGGTGGAACCTCAGTTATTCAAATCAGTGCTGTGAGAAGGGGATCAGGGCTGGGCAAAACCTTTCTGATGCAGTAAGTTTTTTTCCATGTGTTTTTCTAGGGAAAAAAGCTGTAATTTTTTTAAATAAAAAAGTGGGGTTTTTTCCCTTTTCCCAACCAATAACCTTGAATCTTTGTCCCTCAGCTTGGTGCCAGAAAAATGTGGGTTTAATATGAGGAATAATGGCAGTGAATTGCTTTTAAAGGATCTTCCCCTCAGAGCTGCCTGAGGAAGCAGTGTCACCTGTGTCACCTGTGTCACCTTCTCTTTCTCTCTGTGCTTCCAGGCCTTCTTCACAGAGAAATATCTCCAAGAACATCCTGAAGATCAAGAAAAAATTGAGCTGCTCAAGCAACAAATTGCTATACAGGTGTGGAATTGGGAATATGGAGCACTGGGGGAGTGGGGAAGAGGGAATCCTGGAATGCTTTGGGTGGGAAGGGCCCATCCAGGCCAGGGTGTCAGCGCTCAGGAACACAGAACCATGGGATGTGATTCCATGCAGGTGCTTTTATTGAGAGCTCTGAAATCAGGGGTACAGACCCAAATCTGACACTCCCACACGGCTTTCGAGCTGAACGTATTTTATATTCTATCCTTATATAACTTACATATTAATTATTAAACTTATATTGTTCTGTTGTATACATTGACATGAGTTTCTCATGATCTTTCTTAGGCCCCTGACCACAGTTTCTCATGATTATTCTTACGATTAAACAGTAATTATATTTAATTACTAAACAGTCATCACATCTAACAATTATATCATTTATCATCTACTAGCTACACAGGTGCAGTTCTAGCAAGGTACAAAGTCTTCCTGTATTCAGGATATTTATTTATCTTTTCAGGGCCTACTAAGCTTAATTTTCCTTTTAACCCTAAATCTCCATGATTTTAAACCCTTTTACTATCAAGGGAAAACACTGAAGTTTGTTCAACACCTGGAGCTCCAGCACTGAATTTCCCTCACTGCCAGCAGCTCTGAGGCAGCAGCTGAGCTCCCTTGCTGTGTCCCTGTTTAATTTCCCCTTCACAAACACAAAACACGTTGATTTAAATCCTTTATTTTTATCTGAGCTGCTGAACTGACCCTCTGGGGGGCAGGAGGGCTGGTTTGTGCTCCTGCAGCTCATTCTGCTCCTTCCTCCCTCCCTCCCTCAGATGCCTCTCCTGGCAGAGGGGATCCGCATCCACGGCGAGAAGCTGACGGAGCAGCTGAAGCCCCTGCACGAGAGGCTCACAGCCTGCTTCAGGGAGCTCAGGAGGAAGGTGGAGAAGCAGTACGGGGTCATAACTCTGGTGAGGGAACCTGCTTTTTCCATGTTTTGCCCCAGAGGAACCCAACTCCCCCTTTGCCACCCATGGGTGGGTGTGAGGTGGGGTCACAGAATCCCAGAATCAAGTTTGGGAAAGAGCTTTGAGACCGTGGAGTCCCAGCTGTGCCAAATCCCCAAATTATCCCCAGCTCAGAGCTCTGAGTGCCACATCCAGGCCTTCCTTGGACACCTCCAGGATGGGGATCCAGCCCTCCCTGGGCAGTCCCAAGGCCTGAGCTCCCTTTCCATGGGGAAATTCCTGCTGGTTCCACCCTGAGCCTGCCCTGGCCCAGCCTGAGGCCGTTCCCTCTGCTCCTGTCCCTGTTCCTGGAGCAGAGCCCGACCCCCCGGCTGTCCCCTCCTGGCAGGAGCTGTGCAGAGCCACAAGGTCCCCCTGATCCCCCTTTTCTCCAGGCTGAGCCCCTTTCCAGCTCCCTCAGGGATTCTCCAGCCCCTTCCCAGCTCCCTCAGGAATTCTCCAGCCCCTTCCCAGCTCCCTCAGGGATTCTCCAGCCCCTTCCCAGCTCCCTCAGGGATTCTCCAGCCCCTTCCCAGCTCCCTCAGGAATTCTCCAGCCCCTTCCCAGCTCCCTCAGGAGTTCTCCAGCCCTGTCCCAGCTCCCTCAGGAATTCTCCAGCCCTTTCCCAGCTCCCTCAGCCTCTCCTGCTGCTCCTGACCCTTCCCCAGCTCCGTTCCCTGCCCTGGACTCCCCCCAGCCCCTCCATGTCCTTCCTAAATTGGGGGACCCACAACTGGGCACAGCACTGGAGCTGTGGCCTCCCCCCTTGCCCAGGGGACAGTCCCTGTCCTGGTCCTGCTGGCCACTCTGCTCCTGATCCCTTTGGCCATTTTGGCCACCTGGGCTCGTGTCCAGCTGTGTCCATCAGTCCCCTCAGGTCCTTTTGTGTCCAGCAGCTCTGTCCCCAGCCTGGGGGTTGTGGCCCAAGTGCAGGACCTTTGGTGTTGTTGTTAACCCTTGTGTCCCTGGGTGCAGGCCATGGACCCGGCCTGGCCAGGTCCCTGTGCAGAGCCGCAGGGCTGCTGCAGGGCTGCTGCTGCTGCAAGGCTGCTGCAGGGCTGCTGCTGCTCTCTCACGGTGTTCCCGTCCCCGCAGCCCCCGGTGCTGACCGAGAGGAAGCCCAGCAGGTCGGGCTCGGTGGTGCTGCCCTACATCATGTCCTCCACCCTCAGGAGGCTCTCGGTCACCTCCGTGGCCTCGTCCGTGGCCTCCACCTCGTCCACCTCGTCCGACAGCGCTTCCTCCAGGCCGGGCTCCGACGGGTCAGTGACCGACAGCGGGAATGTGCCCAGAGAGGGGCAGGAATGTGCCCCAGAGAGGGGCAGGGATGTGCCCCAGAGAGGGGCAGGGCTGTGCCCCAGAGAAAGGCAGGGATGTGCCCAGAGAGGGGCAGGAATGTGCCCCAGAGAGGGGCAGGGATGTGCCCGGAGAGGGGCAGGGCTGTGCCCCAGAGAAAGGCAGGGATGTGCCCAGAGAAGGGCAGGGATGTGCCCCAGAGATGTGCCCCAGAGAAGGGCAGGGATGTGCCCCAGAGAAGGGCAGGGATGTGCCCCAGAGAGGGGCAGGGATGTGCCCAGAGAAGGGCAGGGATGTGCCCAGAGAAGGGCAGGGATGTGCCCAGAGAAGGGCAGGGATGTGCCCCAGAGAAGGGCAGGGATGTGCCCAGAGAAGGGCAGGGATGTGCCCCAGAGAAGGGCAGGGATGTGCCCCAGAGAGGGGCAGGGATGTGCCCAGAGAAGGGCAGGGATGTGCCCCAGAGAAGGGCAGGGATGTGCCCCAGAGAAGGGCAGGGCTGTGCCCCAGAGAGGGGCAGGGATGTGTCCCAGAGAGGGGCAGGGATGTGTCCCAGAGAGGGGCAAGGATGTGTCCCAGAGAGGGGCAAGGATGTGCCCCAGAGAGGGGCAGGGATGTGCCCCAGAGAGGGGCAGGGATGTGCCCAGAGAAGGGCAGGGATGTGTCCCAGAGAGGGGCAGGGATGTGCCCGGAGAGGGGCAGGGCTGTGGACAAAAAACACATCATACTCAGAATTCCAGGGGTAACAGCACAAATCCCACTGAAAAAATCCATGTCCTGCCTCACTTTTTCACAGTTATCCTTTACACAAACTAAGAGATCACAGCTTTTTAACAATCAGCCCTTTCCATGTCTGATGGACTCATGTTTCACGTTTTTCTCACTCTTTTGGTCCACAGATCTACCCTGGAGCCTCTCTTGGAGAGGAGAATATCCACATCTTCCAGAGCTGAGGAGCTGCCTGTGAAAGACGACGGTGACAACAGGATTAGCAAACTCAAGAGGAAGGAGTGGAGCATTAGCAAGTCTCAGGTTATTGTGGAGAAGGAGCCAGAAACAGAACTGACTTCCAAAATGGTAAAAAAACCCCACCATCATAACATCAGCAATAATAAAACCCACAGCAGGAGCTGAGAGTTTCCATTGCTGGTCAGGGGGAGTCTCATTAAACAGTGGGAGGGGTTCAAATACCAACAAGCCTCAGTCATCTGAGTAATTCTCTTTTTTTTAATTTGGAAAATTCGTGTCACAGGCCCAACTGCAGCTTGGCTGGAGGTGCAGACTGGGAGCAGGAGGCTCAGGGAGGTGCTGGGCAGAGCTGAGCCCTCTCAGCACCATGAAACCCCTGTTCTCCTTGGAGCAAGGAGCCCCTGCCCAGCCAGATGTTGAGCTGCTGGCAGGCAGCAGCACTGCACAAATCAAACATCCTGTGAGGTGCAGACCCCTTGGATGGATCAGGGAGGTGGGAGAAGATGCTCTGGTGGTTCAGTCAGCAGCTCTGGAGACCTGGATCTGCCAGGCTGTGCTCTGCTGCAGCCCTGTGTGAGGGCAGGGTGGTCAGTGCTTGAGGAATAAACCAGAATGTGCCCCCCAGGAGGCTGGCATGAGGAACAGACTGGAGGCTGTTGGGCTTTAAGGCTCACAGTGGGGCTCAGAGTGGTCACCCAAAGCACAGGGATGAGTTTCAGCCCACAGACAGAACTCTGCACCCTGGGATATTGTCCTGATGGACATAAAAATTGTGGTATACCTGAAATATTGTCCTGGTGGATGTAAAAGCTGTATTACACCCTGGATATTGTCCTGGTGGATGTAAAAGCTGTGTTACACCCTGGGATATTGTCCTGATGGACATAAAAATTGTGGTATACCTTGAAATATTATCCTGGTGGATGTAAAAACTGTGTTACACCCTGGGATATTGTCCTGGTGGACATAAAAATTGTGTTATACCTTGAAATATTGTCCTGATGGATGTAAAAACTGTGTTACACCCTGGGATATTGTCCTGATGGATGTAAAAGCTGTATTATACCCTGGGATGTTGTCCTAATGGACATAAAAATTGTGTTATACCTTGAAATATTGTCCTGAAGGACATAAAAATTGTGCTACACTCTGAAGCTGAGAGAACTGGGCACCTGGGTATTTCAGTGCTCCTAATCTCGCTGAAGTTGGTTGCTAATCTAACACAGGCTCATTTTTCACAATAGCAAGGAAACACAAATTCCTGTGTTTCCCTTTCCTCTCCAAGTTCCAGCTGGATCTGGCAGGGACAGGTGGTGCTGATCCATTTTCAGGAATTCTCATCAGCTCTGAGGGATGCTGCCAGCACTTGGAGGCTGCAGAGTGTTTCTGAGCAGGGGATTTGTGGTGCTGTCATTGGTCCTGACAGCATTTCCAGCCCAGTAAAAGTGGGGCTGGGGATGCTGGTGCTGCAGGAGGCCTGGCCCTCTGCCTCTGGAATTGCTGCTGGATGAAATCCCCAACATCTCTGAAGGGAAGGAGCCATCCAGGGTTCCAGTCCTGCCTCAGGATGCTGCAAAGCCCAGGAAAAGCTGCTTTTGTGGCTCTGCTCCATGGCTCCACAGTGAGAGCAGGAGTTGGACAGGGATTTCCTGCAGCTCTGGACTCAGCTGGAAAGCCAGAGGGAAGCAAAGACTGCCTGGGCTTTATGTGCGTGTGGTCCCGTCTGTGCAGAGAGAAATCCTGCACAGGGGATGGAGAATTGACCTCTGAAAAAGAGTTTAATTATGTGTTTAGGTGACAGCCTGCTCTGGGAAGCAATGAACTAATATTTAAAAGGACCCCAGGGCTCATGCTCTGCACTTTTGGGGCCACACTGAGGTGGCCTCGTGGTTTGAGTGAAGAGCACAAAGGATGTGACACTGGAAGGAGCTGGATGCAAATTCCCACATGGAAAGGATTTGCTCTGTAAAGCCTAAAATAGACTCACTTCACAGCCCTCAGGAGCTGGAGGATACCAGAGCCCTGACCTGCACCCAGAATTTTATTTTTCTTTATTTCTTGGAAAGAGTTCATCCTCACTCCCCTCCACAATTTTTCCACAGAACTGCAGTAACCTTTCAGAGTGACATCTTCCCTCCTTAATTAATAAATGTAATAATACATTAATAATACCATTAAAAGCAGTTTAGTGCTGCTCAGGGAGTGGGAAGGGGAAGCTGGGCTGTGTCCTGGGAGCACAGAGGGTGCCTTTGGCACAGCCAAGCCAGGCAGGGTTCACCTTTTGTGCCAGGTGTTTGTGTCACCTTCACTGGCTGTGCTCACCTCTCTGTGCCAGGGTTTGTGTCACTGTGTCACCTCTGTGTCACCTCTGTGTCACCTGCCTGTGCTCACCTTTCTGTGCCAGGGTTTGTGTCACTGTGTCACCGCTGAATTCCCTGTGCTCACCTCTCTGTGCCAGGGTTTGTGTCACACTGTCACCTCTGTGTCACCTGCCTGTGCTCACCTGAAGGGTTTTTGTGTCACTGACAGCTCTGTGTCACCTGCCTGTGCTCACCTCTCTGTTGCCAGGGTTTGTGTCCCTGTGTCACCTCTCTGTGCCACTGTTTGTGTCACTGTGTCACCTCTGAGTTCCCTGTGTTCACCTCTCTGTGCCAGGGTTTGTGACAGCTCTGTGTCACCTGGCTGTGCTCACCTGAAGGGTTTTTGTGTCACTGTGACAGCTCTGTGTCACCTGGCTGTGCTCACCTCTCTGTGTTTGTGTCACTGACAGCTCTGTGTCACCTGGCTGTGCTCACCTCTCTGTGTCACTGACAGCTCTGTGTCACCTGGCTGTGCTCACCTGCAGGGTTTTTGTGTCACTGACAGCTCTGTGTCACCTGGCTGTGCTCACCTGAAGGGTTTTTGTGTCCCTGACAGCTCTGTGTCACCTGGCTGTGCTCACCTCTCTGTGTCACTGACAGCTCTGTGTCACCTGGCTGTGCTCACCTGAAGGGTTTTTGTGTCACTGTGACAGCTCTGTGTCACCTGCCTGTGCTCACCTGAAGGGTTTTTGTGTCACTGACAGCTCTGTGTCACCTGGCTGTGCTCACCTCTCTGTGTTTGTGTCACTGACAGCTCTGTGTCACCTGGCTGTGCTCACCTCTCTGTGTTTGTGTCACTGACAGCTCTGTGTCACCTGGCTGTGCTCACCTGAAGGGTTTTTGTGTCACTGTGACAGCTCTGTGTCACCTGGCTGTGCTCACCTCTCTGTGTTTGTGTCACTGTGTCACCTGGCTGTGCTCACCTGAAGGGTTTTTGTGTCACTGACAGCTCTGTGTCACCTGGCTGTGCTCACTGAAGGGTTTTTGTGTCTCTGTCCCAGCAGGGCACGGCAGGGAAGGCGCAGAGGCCCAAGAGTCTGCAGCTGGGAGAGAACAGGCTGACCCTGCTCCAGGGCTCCTCGCTGCAGCAATGCACCCGCAGCCCTCCCCCCATCACCCCCAAAACCCCCCGCACCCAGAGTAAGTCCTGCTGCTGGGGTGTGGTGGGAATGACTCTCTGTTTGCTGGGGAGGGAGGGAGGGGCTGCTGGAAATCTCAAAAATCAAGATTTACTCCATGGAAGTGCATGTAAAATGCTCCTGGAGGTCAGTGTTGTTCCATTTTGCAGACGGGTGTGGAGCACAAACAGTGGGAACTGAACCCCAGCTGCTGGGTTACAGTTACCCCAGTGAATTCCAGGTGCCCACTGCCTCTGTTTCCCAGGAAAACAGGGTTATCTTTTTTGTCAGATAACAGGATTTGGCTGTGCCATCAAAGATCACATCTGTGGCTTGCACATCCCTTGTTGAAGCAGTGCATCACTGGAATTCCTTTCTTCTTTTCTCCAGTATTGACCTGGACAAGAAGGATGGGGAGAGACTTTTCACAGGGGTGTGGAGTGATGGGACATGGGAACAGTTTTGAACTGCCAGAGGGCAGGGCTAGATGGGATTCTGCGGAGAATTCTCCTTATTTGCTCGTTTTTTCCCTTATATTTTGTTATTTCTTCCCTCATTGGTGTTGTTTCCAGGCTCCCCATCCTTGCAGGCTGATGGATTGGCCACACCACCCCCCCCTCCACCCAAAAACAAACCCTACGAGAGCAGCACCCCCAGGAACTCCGTGGAGGTGAGGAAATGGGAGCTGACAGCTTTTTGGAGAGCAGCTTTGGGGCAGGAGGCACCAGTGGAATTTTCCAAACTGTTCTTAGGGTGGTGCTGCTTGAAACCTGTCTCATCATTTCACTGCTTCACTCCCTGAAAGCACAAAAGAAGGAAAAAAAGTTTTTTTTTTGCTTCAGGAGAAGATATTGGAGTGCAGTGACTCTATTATTTATTTTTTTTTTTCCAAGTGGGAGTTGTGTTGTCCTTGGTCAGGAAAAAAGTGTGTGGGGGTGGGAAGAGATACAGAAAACACACCAGCAGCACAAGTTTCAAAAACATGATTAGCCTAAAAGAGTGCAATAATTTGGGCTGAAGAAGTGGGGAGAAAATCACAATTTTCAGAGGTAGTTGGGTCTGTCTTCCTTGGGTTAAAACAACCCTGAAATGTTTTGGTGGAGGAGTGATGAACCACACAACCTCCTCGCTCTCCTGTCCTTTCCCACCTCAGTTATTTACAGGATGCCCCTCAAAACAGGCAGAGACAACATGAAACCCCCACTTAGTGCAGTTTTCTGCAAGAACAAAAAACGCCCTCCAAGCCCCTCTGCAGGCAGGCAGGATGTGGCTTGTTTCATTAGAACTGCCCTTGCTTCCATTTTAGGGGGTTAAGTTTTGCCATTCTGATCTGAACACATTTTACATCCTTTTGGGGCAGCTCATCCAGCCAGCAGGAGAAAAAAAACCTGAGTTTTGAAACCTGGAAGGAAATGGGTTTGTTGCCATCTTACTGATCACCAAAAGAGGGATAAATGCTGAAGTTGGGCTGCAGGTCAGAGGCAATTAAAGTTTATCCTGGGCATACTCCAGCAACTAAAACATTTCAGCTTCTGGTATCTCCTGGGGATCTGTCCTTTGGCCCACACGTGGGTGAAATCCAAGGTTTGCTCATGAAGGAGTCATCACAACCTTTTGGGTTTCTCATTTGGTGAAACAAAATGCCCTCCACTCACCAGCAATGGTTGATTTTTGTGTTTCCATCTCCTCAGGTTGCTCCACCACTGCCCAGCAGACGTGAGGCCAAACCTCCCCCTCCACCCCCCAAAACCAGGAAATCCAGCGTGGTGTCCTCGGAGCAGCACTGAGGATTTGGGGTCACAGAGGCCCAGCCTGCAGTGGCTGCTTTATTCCCAGCCAGCCTGGGATCATTTCCCCTGCCCCTGCACCCCTTCCCCTGCACTTTTCCTGGGAAACAGCACCAAGGAAACGTTGTTGGGCCTGGATTCCCAACGTCTCCCTACTGGAATTCTCCCTCCTGCTCTTGTCTGCCCTGAGTTTGTCACTGCTGCCATCCCAGCAGCTCCTGCCCAGTGGAACTGGGAATCCTGGGCTGATCTCACTGGTGGTATCTCTGCAGGGCGCTGGAGTTTCCTGCCTGGCTCAGGGTCTCTGCTTGTGCTTGGTTTGGAGCAAGATTCATTTTGTGCTTTTTAATGAGGTGGGAAAAATCCCTCCTGCGAATGTTTGAGATGACAGAAGCTGCACTTTTGCCAGGGCTGGGCTGGTACCACCTGCACTGATACCAGGGCTCTACTGTACCAGTTCCATAAACAGCTTGTGGCCTGTTTATTTATCATCAGTATTGATGAAGATTTTGCATTCTCTTCCAGGAATTTTTTTTTTTTTGTTGTTGTTCATTCTCTCATTTTGCTTCTGATTATCTTGAAGAAGTTGGGAAGAGCCACTAAAACCCTGCTGAGGGTGTTGCTCAACAGCAGGAAATACAATTATTGTTGGGCTGGGGGTTCACGGGCCATTATTGTGCTGCCCTGACTGAAATGGGTTTCTGACCTTACTGAAAAACCAAAGTTTGTTCAACCTAATGAAAAGTTTCCTCAGCAAAGGCTTTTTCAGGGAAAAAAAAACAAACCAAACAAAACCCAACCCAACAAAAACCACCCACAGGAGGGTTTTGCTCAGACTGAAGTTGTCATTTTCATTTGTTCTTCCCACTTCCTTTGACATCAGGGTGACTGCAGGAGCTGCTGTGCTGCCTGCCCAGCTCTAAAAGCAGATTTTCTTCATCCCAGAGTCATCCCCGATTCCATCACCTCCAGCTGGGAGCTGCTGAGGAGGTGGCACTGCAGTCACATCCCATCCATCCCCAGCCTGACTGCTGCAGCACTTCCAGCTGCCTCCGGGGAAATCTTGGGAATCTTCCTGGACACCCTGGCCAGCTTTTCCCCTCTCTGGGGCATGGTGGGACGTGTCAGCTCCTCGTTGTGTTCTTGGACACAGACACTGCTTGACTGGAAAACCGCTGGGTTTTCTTTTCTTTCCATTTGCTGGGCACTCTCCTTCCTGTCCTGCTGTGCTCACACCAACCCTGGATCCTCTGAAAGTTCACTTCCAGAGCAGCTTTTTGTCTGGGCTGACAATTCTGCTTCAGGCAGAACAACAGGATGTGGGCTGAGCTGTCTGAAGTGCATTTTAACAGCACCTATTGTTAATTCAGTGCCTTTCCCACTCTGCTCTGCCTCAGTCCTGGGTGCTTTTCAGAGCAGGTCGGGTTTAATCCTTGAGTGAACCTGCAGGAGGCTGAGTGGATCCCAGCAATGGTTTGGGCAAACAGACTGAGCTGCCAGGTTTGGGTGTTTTGGTTCTAAGTGACTTTGAATTCCTCTTTTCCAGCCTTTTTGTTCTGCTTTAACAACCTTAGCTACCTTCTGCATCCAGGTTTTTCCTGGAGAAGGAAACCTCCATGAAAAAACACTCACAGGAGAAGGTCTGGCCTTGGGAAGAATTTTCAGTAGATCTTTAACAAGCTTTTTGCTCTTTTACTTGGGGAGGTTTGGCTCTGGCTGCATTTTTTGCAGTTACAGAGCAGGATTTTGAACAGAATCCTTGGCGTGTTGATGGTGAATTATCCCTCCCTTCCTTCCCTTCCTTGGGCAGTGCAGCTGCCAGGGGTGAGGACAGTTCTTCAGCTCTGCCCTGCCTTGAAATTGTTCCTCTCACCTTAAAGCTCACCTGGGTTTGCTGCTCACAAGGTCAGGCTTCTCCTCTCCCTCCCTGTGCCTGCCCAGTTGGGCACTGGGACGGGCACCCTCTGAACTGGGAGGAGGGCAGCAGCTGACACCAAAGAGCTCAGAACAAGTTTTCCCTTCCCAGGACATTTTGGGCATTTTCACTGGCAAATTTGCCAGAAATGGCTCTAAATTTGCTTCTTTTTTTCCTTCATTATTTATGTTCCAGAGTTTATAAACTCCTGCTCCTTTTGGCAATGTCCCCGAAGTGTTGTCCAGTTCTCTTACCTGGCTGATAAAAGTTGGCATCACTGGCTCAGAGGTGCAAGATGGAATTTTTGTTCTGTGCCCAAATGATTCACGGCTTTGGGTCAGTTTTTTGGGGAAAAAATCATGTAAGTGTCAGATTTTTAAAGGCAATTGGGCATTTAAGTGTGTGAGGAAGAACAGAGCATTCTAATGATTTTTAAATAAGTGGAATTAAGTGCCCACTCTTAGAAATCTCACCAGAACTGTGATTTTGTTTTGTGTTTTGTGTTTGCTCTTTGCTTGGGTACCTGCCTGACTTGAGTTTTTAATTTTCAGAGGCAATTTAAGGTTGTCTCTACCTGGTTTTTTAAACGAGGATCATCTCTTCAGGTTAATGAGGTGCTTTGGGAAATGCCTCTAATGTGTTTTAAACTGGAGGGTTTAAAATGGGAATAGGAAAGTCCATAATGATGATCTCTGCACAGCACAAATTACAGCAATTTCTGCCCAATTCATGGTTTGGAATAAAATCTCAAAGTTAAAACATCCAAGAGGAGACAAACCCTAATCCCATTTCAGAGCCAAGCTGTTCAAAGCTGCTGTGAAATTTCAAGTCTTTGAGGATTTCAGTTTTTCTCTTTTGGAGAAATGTGTTCAACACTTGTTTTCTGGAGCTTTTAATTAAAATTTATCATGCTGTGATAAATTCCTTTAAAAATGTGACAGGCTCTAATCCACATCAGGGGCAGAGGGGAGCAGCAGCTCTGCTTTGATTTCAGTGGATTATTGGATTAGGAAAGGACACAGATTCCAGGGAGAGCAGCACTTGCAGTGACAGCACCCCAGATTTTCCTCTCCTTATTTATTTTTACCATTGTAAATGGAAATAATAATTTTAAATCTGTAATTTAACTAATTTTTTTTTATATAGTGAAAATATTCCTGACCTGCTTCTGCTACCTTCTTTTGATTATTTTTATTTTAATTAAGAACTTGACTTTATTTTGACTCTTGCAGACCAAATCCTATGGTGGACCAGGGTAAGCTTTTCCAAAGACTACAGCAGGGAGGAAAAATAAACAAATAATGTGATTTTCTGGCTGTTCAAAAGCACGAGGTTCACTTGATTCTTCTCTCTGAACATTAATTAAAGCACTTTTAGGACAGTTTGGGCACTACAGGGGTTACTCAAAGGGTGTTCCCACCTTAACCCATTTTTCAGGTCCATGTGGTGCTGGTTTGTATTTTTAGGTAGAGGTGGAAGTGCCTCAGCAGCTTCAAATTCACCCCAATGTACATTTAATTAATTTTTCTCACTGTGGTATTACAAAGGGTTGATCACTCTAAACCCTGGGACGTGTTTGTTCAGGAGGGTGGACATGAATTCAGGACATGAATTGAGGAGTTTTTGTGTGTTCTGGGATCCTGGATTGGTGATTCCACCACAAACCCACTTTTGCAGAGTGTAAATAGGATGTTTGGGGTTTTTTTTCAGTCCTTTGCATCTAAATCAATAAAAATACAGCTTTAAAGTGGCTCTGGGGAGAGCAGGAGCTGTGGGAAGGGGCTGCAGCTCCTTGGGTAAATGCCACACGATTCACTACATCTGTAAAGCAAGGTGTACACATTTCTGTGGCTTTTTAAAATGTAACGATGGTTGTAAAGTTTGTAAATACATTTTTAAAATAAATGTAGTTTTTATGACTGAACCAGAAAAAAACAAGCAGGAAAAGTCTTTCTTCCATGGACCACTGGTGGACAGGGGAGTTAATTCCAAACGTGAGTTTATTCTTTTACCAAAGTTTCCTTGTTTTACCCAGAAAGGAGTGAAATGAGGCCATGGTTTTGTCTGGACACATGAAACAAATGTTGTCACATCCAAATTGTCCCTACAGGACTCAAAGCAGACTTTTCTCTGCTGTTCCCACTCTGGACTGGGATATGTTCTCTTTTACATAAATCAAATAATCTACACAACAATTTTCCATCATTTGAATGCCATTTCAGAGTATTTATTCACATATTGATCCAAGCAAAGACCATTTGAGGAGGAATTTATTTTAACACAGTTTTGAAACCTCACTCTGGCTCTGTGGCTCCATTTCACTTCGGAAATTTTTAAACGTTCTTTCTTCTGCCTTGTTCCTCCAGCAGCCTCTCCTGTAACACACCAAATTTGAGGTTTAAAGAGCAGAAATGACTTTGAGGATGGAATTTTCAGGTGCTAAAATACCACAGAGGTGAAGCCCTGGGGTGATTGGGATGGACTGGGTGAATATCTGGGGGTTTGTTCCCTGAAGTGCCTCAGGGAGGGGGAATTTTGTGCTCCCTCCCAGGAAATGGTGATAATTAGAGTTTTTCCATGGGGTGGGACATTCCCAGCCACTCCCCTTTCTTTTCCCTGTTTAATATTCCCGTAGCAGCACCAGGATTGTGTTGGGTTGGAAAAGCTGGGTGTGGGAAAAGCTTCATTTGTTTTCAGTGTTATGAGCAGTAAAAGGAGAAGTTCCTGAGCAAACCTCAGGATCTGGTGGGGTTTGGTCCTTTCAGCTCTGCTACGACAGGGCAAGTTTCCCTGGGTGAGCCAGAAGGATTCATTTCAAATATCCTGCTAATTATTCTGGTGTGTTTTCCTGCTTAACACCATCTCTTGCAGTAAAAAAAAAAAATACTTGACTATAGTAAATGAGTGCTGCTGGCTCTTCGCTGTGCAGGCAGTGCTGCTGGAAGTCATGGGCCACAACTCCAATACGTGTTCAGTACAAACAGGATTAAAGATGAGCTAAAATCATATTTATTTGGGTAGTTTCTGCATGAAAATCCAGTGGAATTCAAGCTCTACATTCCTGTTCCTGACTTCATGAGCCTTTTCAAGGCCCAACTCCTCAGTGAGTCTGGAGAGGCTTTCAAGCACTCAGAGCTTTGGGGCTTGGCTTCAAATCCAAAGTAAGCGGAGATTGAGCTTTTGGGATGGCCCAGGGCCACTTCCCAGGAAATGGTGCCCATCTGGGTTAATGAAAAAGCACATTTCTGCCTGAGAGGGCTGGCTGAGTGTCAGTGAACTCGGAGATGAGCTCTGTGCTGTCGCTGCTGTGCAGCAGCTCAGGGAAATGCAGTCCCAGCCTGGGGACCTTGGAAGCAGCAGTTTCCATCTGGCTGTGCCCTGCAGCGGTGGGGACAGGGCTGGGACAGGGCTGGGACAGCAGGGACAGAGCTGGGATAGCAGGGACAGAGCTGGGACAGGGCTGGGACAGCGGGGACAGAGCTGGGACAGCAAGGACAGGGCTGGGACAGGGCTGGGACAGGGCTGGGACAGAGCTGGGACAGCAGGGACAAGGACAGTCCTGGGGCAGGGACTGGGACAGGGATGGCCCTGGGACAGCAGGGACAGGGACAGTCCTGGGACAGGAACAGGGACAACCCTGGGACAGGGACAGCCCTGGGACAGCTCTGGGGCAGGGACAAGGACAACCCTGGGATAGGGACAAGGACAGTCCTGGGACAGGGACAGGGACAGGGATGGCCCTGGGACAGCAGCTGGGGATGCTGTGGCTGCACAGGGAGCCGGGGAGGGCTGGGCTCGCTCTGGGTGAATTGAGGCAGGAAACGCCCCTGCTCCAAGGGGAGCTTTGGAATGATGGATTCCTGTCCTGGGAGTGACCAGGGAGGATTTTGGAACGCTGCAGGTGACAGTGAGGGACCTCTGCAGGGATTTTGATCCAGTGGGAGGTGTCCCTGCACATGGGACAAGGTGGATTTTAGGTCCCTTCCAGCCCAAACCATCCTGGGATTCCATAATAAGGGCAGGGCCAGTATTTCCTGATGTGAGCTAAACTTTACTCCCTCTTCCTCCTCCACCACCACCCTTTTTTTTTCCCTCCCCTCGTGTATCTTCTTTAACTTTTCCCACAGTGATGACAGAAAAAGCACATTACTCACCATGGCTTCCCTCAGAGCCCCACTCCTGGAATTCTGGTGCGAGCCTGGGCACGCGCTCTGCTGCTCCTCCTCTAATTTCTCCATTTCATTTGCAATCTGGATTGGAAAAGTGACCCGAGGAAGTGAGACAACCTTCAGGAAGGGAGAAGGGAGATTTTTCTGCCAAAAGCAATTCTACCCCACTTACAGATGGAGGTGAAACTACACAACTGAAATTGTGGAGTGGAATGTTTCAGTGCACAAATGAAATTCACCTTTTCCTCATGAGCCCCAGGATGCTGAAATAAGGAGCAGCTAGACATGAGGTATGGATTGGAAAAGGGGAAAACCACTGCTGGGCAGAACCTTCCACACGTGCTTTGTCATTTAATGCTGAGCATCCACCACGTGAAAATTGCCAAAATGTTAAGGGAAGTGGAGGAATTATCATAAAATAACCCATCAGAATGTTGGAATTTAGGGAGAGGATGAAATCAGATTTAACCTGGACCTCAGAGCTCCACCTCTCCCTTGGAGCTGTCTGTCCAAATTATTCCATAGTGCTTCAGTGGAAGTTCAGAGATTTTATATACAGTTATTATGAAAATATATATATTTATCTCAATACAGTAGTTTTACTTCTGCCAGCTACAATGTGCCATTTTTTGTGCCAGGGTAAGTGGTGGCACCTCACCTCACCCCTGTTTTTCCAAATCCTCCTTCAACCAATGTCTTTATCCCCAGATCTGGGGATGTCTGGGGGACAGCCACAGGGAGAGGTGCAGAGGGAAGCCTTTTGTCACCTTTTTGGCTGCATTTGTTGCAGGCTGGGCTCGTTTCCCAGCCCAGGACCCACCTCCTGGAATGGTCCCAGCAGGAGCTGGGCGCTCCTCTTGCCCCCTGGCTGGAGGCCGTAGGACCAGTGCTGAGCCAGCCCCATCCCCACGGCCAGCACACACAGCAGGACAGTGGCCACCATCCTCCGGCGCTTCTCCATCCTGCCAGAGACAAAAAAGCACCTGGCTGCTCACAAAGGCATTGCAGGGGGATGGAAATGAGGCATTTCTGAGACACAGAACCATGAAATGTGCTCAGCTGGAAGGGACTCCCGAGGATCAGGGAATTCCAGCTCCTGGGCCTGCACAGACACCCCAAAAATCCCACCCGGTGCCTGCTCCACTTCTGAGCTGCACCTCCTGGGCAGGAGCCCCAGCTGGGTTTGCAGCCTCTCAAAGCGTGGATTAGCTCACTTGAAAGAGATTGGACATCTGAAAAATTTGGATGAAGATCTAAATTAGGATTTCTGAGTTCCAGGCATGTGTGGACCTCAAAGGTTGCATTCCCTGGTGGTGTTTGGCAGATGTGTTCAGCTGGTTTCTGCTCTGATGTCCCTGCTCCTTAAAAGCTGCTCTTTGCAGACTCTTCTAATCCTTTTTTTTTATTATTTTTTTAATAGGAGCATCTGTAAGCACTAGATAAATAAAAAGGGAGTGTGGGATGTTGTTCAGCACATTACCTGCTGCCTGAGAGAGGTTGTGGAGTAACTGCAGCTCTTCTCCTCTGGAAAATGTCTGTAAATGTGCTCTCACCTCACTTTTTATACCCGAGAACCCCAGTGCCACCCCATTCCCAGCAGGAGACTTTTCCCACTTCTCCCTCCCCGGCTGCAATTTTGGTGTTACTGTCATGCACAAGCAAAGCCCATAATTGGGACACCCGGTGCAGCAATTAAATTCAGCTCTTTTCTCAAAAAGTCATACAAGTAACAGCTTTGTTTTTAAGAGGTTGTAAATCCCACATTGGGATCCAGGAGATCCTGCTGGGAAATGCAGGAGCTTTTCTGTCAGTGAGTTCTGCTTCTTGTAGTAAAAGTTCTTGGGTGAGTCTGAATTCGTTGAGGGTGTGAAATGGGTGAGGAATTGAGCTCAGTCTTTAAGAATCCTGGAATGTTTTGGGTTGGAAAAGACCTTAAATGAATTTATTTCCACCCCTGCCATGGGCAGAGACACCTTCCCCCATCCCAGGGTGCTCCAAGCCCCATCCAAACTGGCCTGGGACACTTCCAGGGATGGAGAATCCGTGGTCCAGCCAACACCTCGTTTGCCCATTCATTTCTATCAGGCATGAAGGAAAAACCCTTCAGTGCTCAAACTTATGCCTGTGCTTGCACAATGCCCAGAGCAGTTTGAATCCTCCTCCTTAGTATTTAACTTCAGGTGCCCTGGTGTTCCTTGCTTTATAAAAAGCCAGGTGGGATTAAACTGACGAGTTTGTGATTGTAAATGTACTTTGTTGGCACCTCTGGTGTGAACAGGATCCCCAAATCCTTTTTAGAAGGGCCTGGAGTGACAGGGACAAGGGGGAATGAGTTTAAACTGACAACAGAGAAGGTTTAGGTCAGGAAGAAATCTATCATTTGGGTTTAGATTAGGACAAATTCCTTCCCTGAGAGGGTGGGGAGGGGCTGGGATGGAATTCCCAGAGGAGCTGTGACTGCCCTGGATCCCTGGAATTGTCCAAGGCCAGGCTGGAGCAGCCTGGCACAGTGGGAAGTGTTGGGGATGGAATTGATGGAAATGATCCTTAAGGCCTCTTCCAACCCAAACCATTCCACGATTCCCTATTTTTCAACCATGAGAGTTTGCATTGCAAGTTTATAAAGATTTATTTGCATGCAGGAGTTAATTCAGTATTTTTGACTGCAGAAATTGTAGTTTTTCCCCACCTGGCTGCTCCTCTGCCTTGCTGTGCACTGTTCTGTGCCACCTGAATGTTCTCCAAACTTCCTCTGCTCCGGCTCCCATGACCTCTTGGAGCTTTAGTGGATTAAAGTCATTTAATGAGTAAATAATTCAGGGAGGATTTGGTGACTCTTAGCCCCCAGCTCCAGCTCAGCTGCTCAAGCTGTGAAAAGTTTGGGTTTTAAGAGCAGAAATGTTCCTGCTCCTCCGTGGGCCACGTGGAGTCACCCAGGGGTTTCCCTCCTTCCTTCCCTGATGAGCTCTGTAAAAATGAGGGTTATTTAAAAGTAAAAGCAGAGTTGGTTTGGACATTTAAAAAGAGCTTTACCCAATAATTGCACCTCATTATCCACCACTTACCCAGGCTCTGATGAGTCTGCCCTGAGCTTTGAACAACTTTTTCTCCACAGGTTTCTGGTGCAATCCACATTTATGATCCTTGGGGCCCTTCCAGCTCAGAATATTCCATGATTCTCTGACTATTCTGCCTCCAACTATTTTATTCAGCAAATATGAAGGGTGGGGACAAAAAGGCTGAGAAGTCTTGGAGAAGAATAACAAACAAAAAACAATCACATGCAAATTCATGGCTCAGAACCCCCACAAGCAGAGTTGTTTTTCCAACAGGTATTTTATGCTTAAAACTAAAAAATTCTTGCTCTTCTCACGCAAGGCAGGAAAGATTTGGGGTTTTATTTAAATGAAGACAACTAAGCCACATTTTCTTTCACACTTTTTATTAATGCAACTTAAATTAGCTGGAACCTGCAAATTCTGCACAGGGCTCTTCACACAGCTCTGTCCTGGCAGAGGAGGTACCTAAAATCCAGCTGTGAATGATGGTGCCACATGCTGTGATTATTCCATAGTGCTTCAGTGAAAGTTCAAAGAGATTTTATACACAGTGATTATGAAAATAGATATATATTTTTTTTCCATACAATAGTTTTTACTTCTGCCAGCTACAAAATATGATAAAGAAAAATAATTCATTTGTTTCTCTAGCCCTAGGAATCTTCTTCTACTGCAACAGACACAACATTCCCACTGAAAGCCATGAGGTGTGAGAAAGGACTCCAAAGCCACACTGGAATATTTCCCTGGAATCTACAGGTCATTTCTCCAAGGATCTAGTGTTGTCCTAGAGCTTGATCCAGAGGGATCTGCAGGAAATAATCCCAATTCTGAACCTCGTGGCTCTGGGATTTTGAGCCTTGAAAGCTCACGTCACTTGCCTGAGTCAAACCAACTTGAAAAGGAGGGAGAATCCTGCAATTCCCCCCAAGCACATCCTCTGCTGACCCTCAGCCTTCTCTGATCCTCCCAGACTGGTGGCAAAGCAGCATTTTTGTAACAACAACTGAGACAAGACGACAGAAATTGCACTGCAAGGGAGAGACAACCCCCTGAAGAACTGTGGAACTCCCACTGGTTCTTATTCTTCCTTTGTATTTCTACAGTAACAGCTTGATTTCTTTAAATTCAAGGTTAGTTTTAACTTTGGGGTGGTTTAAGCATCTGAGGTAAGTTCTTGATGCACCTTTTTTCTTTTTTTTTTTTTTTTGGTATCGTTTCTTCATGTGCTTTTTGATTGTGTGTAAAATAAAGGTGGTGTGAGCTGAGAACTCCGTGGATCCTACAGGGAAGCAGCTCCTTATCCACACCAGGGGTGCTGAGGCCTCTGCCCTGCACAACTCCCCCATGCAGCAGCTCCAGCTGCTCTCTGCACAGGCACAGCAGGGCTGGGAGGGCACCTGGCCCTGGGCAAAATGCTTTTACAGCCCACACAGAAGAGGAAGACCCAGCTGGGAAAAGGAGGATGCCCAGGGAGCTTTCAGGGAGTCTTTGCATAGTACATGGAGGGGAAGCAGGGAAAGATTCACCTGCTGAGGTGATGAGGGGAGGGCAGAGCACAACTGGGGCTCCTCTGCCTCTCTCTGCTTTGGTGCCAGCTCTACTTTCCTCTCTGCATTGAATTCACCACAGAAAGTGAAAACACTGCAGAACTCCAGCCTGCTGTGGTCAGGACGTGTGAAAGCAGGATTTTTCTCACCAGCTGTGACTGACAGTGCACCTCCACACTCATTTGGAGAGGATTAATTAAAGATATCCAATTTCTGAGCAGGGATGTTCCCATCAGCTTCCACCCCAGCAGAGACCTGAACACCCCCTGGGGACACCGAGCCACCCCTGGCATGGATCCAGACTGCAAATACACCTGTAAACCTCAACTTGGTTGCTACTGTACAGGAGTAACATTTTCTATTCATATTGCAGCTACAGATCTAATAAATAGAATTGCATATATTGTGCTTTATAAATTAAAATGCATTCCAAAGTGAGGCAATGCTAAATAATGAAACCATTGAACCTTTCCCCCCCCTAAACCAGCCAGACTCTCTGATTCCACCACCACTTCCTCACTCTGTTCACAGAGGTACAAACTCTCTGCTGGTACCTCTGAAAACAAAAATTCCCTCCCCAAAAGTGACCAAAGAGAGTTTACCTAGGCACTACTGCAAATGTAAGGTGGCTAATAACCATGACTTGAACTCGGGAAGGGGAGGAGGTGAACAAAGTCACGATGAATGTTTGGATTCCTTCCTCTTCAGCCTGTTCTGGCCCCTATCTGACACTCTGGGACATGTGCAGGGGTGTCAGCATCTCCTCAAAGATGGCTCCTTTCACGTTAGATCCCCTCAAATTTGCTTCTTGTAGGTCACAACCTGACAGATCACAATTCTGAAGGGGGAAAGGAAAAAGAACGTTAACTGAATAGAGACAGAACTCTGTTCAAAAGTTTAACTCCATTTCCCTTAACTCCATTTAACTTTGTAGCTGGAGAGAAAAGCCAGCAATCCCCCAAATTGCCATCTTTTTGTACGTATGTTTATGTCCAGGAAACGAAGGCTAACTCACCTCCAGGTCAGTCCCTGCCAGCGTGGCTCCTCGGAGGTTGCAGTTCTTGAGTTTGGCGTTTTTCAGCGTGGCCACTCGGAGGTTAATCCCGGTCATCTGACTGCCCTCCATGTCCACACCCTTCAGGTTGGCACCTGCAACACACCCACAGGTGCCGGAGCAATCCCTGGGTCAGGGCTGGAAAAGTCTCTCCTCCAGCCCGTGCTTCCAAAGAAAGGCTCAGCAGTCTCTGTTGTTCGGTCTCAAGGCAGTTTATTGCAAGTTATCTAAAAGATTTTCTCCTTGGGCTGCTGTGGTTTGCTCACAGCTCAGGCAGAGGCACACACACACCCTGACATCCTCTCTGTCCCCTAATTTCTTCTTCTCTCCCCGCCCAGGGCTGCTGAAATCTTTTATATGGTACATTACGTGATAAATGTTTACAGTTTTTCCCCAATACTTATATGAAATGGTGCTTTTCTATCTTTTATATGGTACATTACGTGTTACATGGGTACAGTTTTTCCCCAATGCCCATTACCTATATTAAATGGTGCTTTTCTATCTTTTATATGGTACATTACGTGTTACATGGGTACAGTTTTTCCCCAATGCCCATTACCTATATTAAATGGTGCTTTTCTACTCTAAACCAATCTGTGAGTGCCAACATCACCAAGAACATGGAGGGAAGGAAGGAGAAAGAGGGAGGACAGGGCAGGCCCAAATCCCTCCATCTTAAACCTCTGACCCCCATGTACAAAACCAAAACCCCCCTGTACAGCACTCAAAAATTCTTCCCTCTACTTTGTGACTACTTCTACTCTAATATCTAAACTTTTGTGACTTCTTGTTCTTCCTGCAAGGTTGGTAAATCGTTCCATGGTTCAAACCCAAAATCACAGCTGTTTCCAGCTGCCTGCCAGGGTCTCAAATGCTTCTGACCTGGGCCTGGAACATCCAAAAATGTCTCAGGGACATTTTGAGTTCTGACAGGAAAAGCAGCAATGCAACAGCTCCAGGTGATGCTTCCCAAGAGCTGGGTAAACTGGGAGAGGCCAAGGCAGAATTGGGAATTAATGATTATTTGGCAGAAGCAGCCCAGAGTTGTGGGCTCTTCCCATGGACTTTACAAACACAGTTGAACTTTTGTCACATCAATGAACAGGCATAGGGCTGATTAACAGGAAATAATTAAAAGGCAAAAACTTACCTTCCAAATTAGCTTTAAGGCCTGATGGATCTTCAAAGTTGCAGCCCTTCAGGGATGCTCCCTCTGCGTTGGAACACAGCATCTTCACCCCCTGCAGGTTTGCACACTGGCAGAGACAGGATGTGAGTCACGAGGGCGTCAGGATAAATACCAAACATCAGCAGAACACAGATTTAAATTCTGCACTGCAACTGAACCCCCCAAAGCACAACTGTGAGGAAGTGTGGGAACACTGCAAGTGGAACAATCACAGAAAACATTGGGAAACTGATTTTTTTTTGTTCCAATTCCTGTTTCTTGAGACCAGTGCAGGGCAGCCCAGGGTGCAGCATCCTTACATCCAGCACGGATCCAGAGAGGTCAGCTCTCTCCAGGTTGGCACAGCACAGGTTGGCATGGGCCAGGTTGCAGCGGCTCAGATTGGCCATCTTGAAGTTGATGTAGCGAAGATCCAGGCGGGAAAGGTCGGCTCCACTGAAATTCAGACCCTGGAAAAGCCAGGGAACACCCCCAAAATGGTCACAGAAGGGAAGGGGCAGGTCTGGACACAAAAGAATTAAAAGAAACACATCTGGGTAGTTGTGTATATAAATCTATACAGATAAACAGATATACAGACACACTTCCAGTACCTTAAAGGAGCTGATAAAAAGATGGAGAGACTTTTTATATGGACAGAGATTGCCAGGACAAGGGGCAATGGTTTGGAGATCAGGTTTAGATGAGATATTGGGAAGAAATTCCTCCCTGTGAGGATGGGGAGAGGCTGGGATGGAATTCCCAGAGCAGCTGAGGCTGCCCCATCCCTGGAAGCATCCAAACCCAGGCTGGAGCAGCCTGAGACAGTGGAAGGTCACCCTGCCCACGGCAGATTGGAACAAGATTATCCTTAAGGTCCCTTCAACCCCAAACCATTCCATGGTCCTATATAAACACCCTCTCACAAGATCATTTACTCTATTACATAACACCATGAAATGAAAATGCAAAGCTCTCAAGATCTGGATATTTCCTAAAAACAGGCTGTGGTTTTACAGTGTAAGAGGGCAGGGCTGGATAAGGTGTTAGGAAACAACTGTTGGAGTTTTGTCAGAAAGACAAAGGCTGAGCTCCCTGACCTGACAGCGCAGCTCAGACTTGGTGGGCGTTGCCAGCAGGAATCGGACAAACTCCTTCCGAGAGATGGGGGAGTGATCCTCAGCTGGCTGCGAGTTCTGGGGAGAGCAGGCAACAGGGACACTGAGTTTTGTGCTCCCTGGGACAGCAGGACGTGCCTCCAGGGCTTACAGAGAGCAAGGTACCTTAATAGCAATTTCCAGGTGTTCAATGAGGGAGTCGATCCCAAAAAACCTGGCTTCTTCCAAAACCCCTACAAAGAAAGCAGTGCTGGTTATCTCCAAACTGCTGATCCAGAGAGCAGCACCCTTCTCTCCCCTTACTGGAGAACACACACACACATACTGGATGTAACTGGGGAGAGAGAGAAAGTTTGCTTGCAGCTAAAAGGAAAAACATAACTCAGACACAACATTTCCAACACCAGCATTAGGTTAAAGAGATCAACTCCAGAATTCCAGATATTAATCCAGTATGGGTTTTTAATGCTCCAAAGAGAAATAACCAACCTATCCTCATTAAAGCAAGCACATGGAGCTGCACTGCTGAGAATAAATCCACCAAAGGAAAACTCCCAACCACGGGGACGAGCACACAAAGCTCCCCCTTGGCTTCACCACGGGCAAAGCTTTAATTCCAAGGAGGAATAATTTAGGAGATGTCAGACAGGTAATACCTACCTAGCAAATTAATGCCATCATTTACAATGAGCTGTCCGTGACGCAAATAGTTCAAAATGGGCTCAAAATACTCAGGACTGCGGTCAATGAGGAAAGCTCCTCTAGGATCTTGCTTATTCCCCCAAGCATCTGTTTCCACAACATATATATATATAAAATTACTTTTGATGTAGTGATAGAAGAGCATTTGCTTCAGTTTTCAGAGCTTTTCATTACCAAAGGGGACTGGAATAGCAAACATTCCACTTGGAAGGGCAGTTCGGAGACAGAAGGAAGGAAAAGAGGAGTGAGGGGGAAAATCAGCTTAAAATGACCTTGTTCCTGCTCTGAATAACTGAATTTTTACAAAAGAATCCTGGCTAGGATAAAAGCAGCACTGAAATTTTAGTCTGATTATCTCCCCAAAGCTGCCTCGTGCAATTTGCTCATTGGCTCTGCTGACAAAACTGAGGAAGATGCAACAAGACAAAAACCTCAAATCAAGTAAACAAACAAAGGACCCAAACTACTCACAATGGATGGGAGCTGTATCTGCAGCTTGTGAGACAAATGATCAACATTAGGTGGTGAGATG